AATGTATTTATATCGAATTGAGATTCTATTTTTACAACTTGGATTGTAAATTGTATTTCATGTCCTTTTAATTTCGTCCGAGTGGGTTAACAATCATGAATGGATTGAGTAAAGCAAATACAAATCTCACATTCGTTTTATCAATTATCAATAGACGTGTTTTTTATAACTTCATTGAAATTCATCTGTAGATCAAACTTCGATTATTCGAAAAGAAAAATTTTTTTCTCGATTTAAATAAAAGTGAAAAAAAGAATTGAAAACAAAGAGGAAAATATATGGATTTAATTTGGTATTAAGTCTTGTAAATGTATTTTTGTCTAAAAAACAAAAGAAATATGAAAAGATAAGAAAATTAGACAAAATATATGTCATACAGATCATCTTGTGATCGTTCGATATAATCTGTTTCGATTAATTGTTCGATTTCTCGTTTTATGATAATTAAAGATGGAATAAAACGAGATTCGAATTCTTCAGTTATCTACAAAGAAAGTCAAAATTTGATTTGTGATGATTAAGAAAAGATCTACTCGTGTAATAAGTTGTTGATGTGTCATTATTTGAAAAGATTTCATAATTCTGACAATTGCAGCTCGAATTTGCCATTCATGATGATCATTGATTTTCTTCTGAATGTCTTTACATTGGATTTTATTTGCAAATTTGACTTTCAACGAATGAATTTTCACAAAACGATGATTCGATGAAAATGATTCATTAACAGAAAATCGATCAGTCGATTCAATGTTTTTCTTATTGGAATCTTTGAGAAGAATATTTTTCTGATAATATAATGGAAACAATGCTTTTTTCATATCATCTTCATCGATATCAGTTTCATGATGAATTTCCTAAAATAAATCAAAAAATGAAAAGAATTTTCTAAGAGAATAAATGAACTTCAAATGTCCATGATTGTTTTTTATTAAATAAAATTAAAATCATCATTTGATATGTTGAAACTTGAAGAAGAATTTTTTCTCCATTGATTTCTAATCTTAAATGAGCTGAACCAAATTGTGGGAAGAAAATTAATTGACGACCATTAAATCTTTTCAAATAAAATTTTTCAAAACATTGATAAACATAATTAATGTCTGATGAAAGATTTCCTTTGTTATTTAAATGAGAAATTGGCCAAGAATTTCTTTTTAATATTTCAATATGAAAATCAATTCCATGGAAATCCAAATGATGTTCATTAATATGTTCTTGAAAAGCTTTTCTTATTAATTTTGAAGATAAGAANGAACTACACTCAAAGTGACAAATTCTCAGATAATTCTTTTATAGTATTTTATTATTATATTCTATCTTTCCCAAAAGACTAACAACTTTAATGCGCAATACTATACGACAGAAAGGAGGAACTTTATAATTCTTGTGATTGAAAGTTTTGAAATGACTTCGTTTTACTTTCAAAATAGTACAGATTTGTTTCTTTTCTTTTCTTTTGATCACACTTCAATGAAGAATAGATGCATTTTTGATCTTTTCGTAGTATCTTGAAAGTTCCAGTATGTGTAATCAGTTGTTGTCTTTAGCCTTTGACCGATACAGATGGATATATGTTATCCAATCTATATAAATGAATGAGAAAGAAAACTTCTGATTGTTCTGCAAATTTGGGAAAGGGAAATTCATTCTCGAAATCTTTGGATCATTCTGAAAAGGTGTCATTGAGTTTATTTCTTAAAATAGTATTCGATATTCTTTCTGAGGAGTATCTAGAACATTCTGAACAACACAAATCGAGATTTTAATTCTCTCTAGAAAAATGTCGTGAGTTCGAAAACATTCTCGGAACCTCAAGCATGTACACATCATTCTGGAATAATCTAGAATAGAAGAGACCTCCTAGTCTTCAGCTTTTACTTGATTTTTGTACGAGAAAACACACATAACATTATATAGAGATAAATAAAAATATAAGATGCAGAATTAGATTTTACATTGATATTTTCTCAATTCAAACAATCAACATAAAATTTGTAAGAAAAATGATTAAATAGATGAACGGAAGTCTTATTGAAAAAAAGAAATAAATGATTACCAACATTCTTTCTTAGGAATTCCCCCAGTACACCATACAGAAGAACATGAGGAATTTTTGATAACATTGGGTAAATAAGCTAGTATCTTACATCCTTCACAAGTAAGACATTGTATAAGATAACCACTAGGACTAATTATCTGCATAGCACCCCTGTCAATAAACATTGTATATTTTCCAAGACATAACGTTGCACTGAGAATAAAACATAAAAATAATACACGCAACAACATTATCAAAACTATAGTGTGTTATATTTGAATTGTTTTCGCTCTTAATTTATATGTCGATTTCATTAACAACCACACGAGAGAAATAGAAGAAAATGATACTTTATTGACCAAGTAAATACACATTAAGAATATTTTCAAATATTGATAACCCTTCAGGCAAGTTTCGCAGCTCGTTTCTATAAAATAAATAATTTCCATCGCAATTTCTGACACCGTATACTTTTCAACATACGAAGTTCTTTACAAAAAAACTAACCAATGTTGAAGAAATATACATAATAATTAAAAAGTATTTGAATATGTGACAAAGATTTAGAAATAAGATAGTTCATCTACAAATATTTTCAAATTTACAAAAAAATCTTAAGTATATATAAAAAATGCCTGGAGAAACATTGTGGATCGTTGTTTGACAAATGTGTGGACATTAAAGAAGACAAACTCTGATGAGTTCTTATCGAAATAATTCTTTCATATATCTTCAGAGAAGACCAGAGAATATTGAGGACTATGCAAATAAATATCAATACAAGCTGTACTTTGATTTATCTTATACTATCAATTTTGAGGATGAAAAGTCTGGAAAGATATCACATCTTAAGTATTGTTTAGCTGATATGTACTGAAATGTTTACGAGAAAACTTCATCGTAGTAGAAAAAGTCTACTTTAGTCTTGAATCGTTCAATAATTCATAATGTGAAGCAACATTTCCGGCTAAAGTGAATTGTGGATAAATTCAAGACTGACGGTGTTAAAGAGAACAATCTCGATCTGGTTTATCATTGATCCCATTTAATGCTTTCGAAGAAATTTGTTATTTCTTCTAGAAAATTATTTGAATTTAGTGACTTTAATGTACACTTTTTTCTCTATAAATATATTTCTTGATTTATTTAACATATATAATCATCTATTAAATTTACTTTTTCCATATTGAGATTATGAAATAAGAACGAGATAAAGCGAAAGAATTTTTGAGTGATTGAAAGTTTTAGTTGATTTAGAAACGTCATAAAGAGATTTTTTTCTATAACAAATTCGTTTTCCTTTCTTTTCTGGATATACCTCTCTCTCTGGAGATCATCTCCTTTGATATTCTATGTGGATCATTTTTTTTATTTGGATACTTTTTCCATAAATTCACACATCATGAACTATACAAGACATTGGTCAACAAATGTCATCTGAAGAATGCCATACAGAAAATAGTGACAATTCGCGGATTAATATGAATTCTTTCGATGATGGTTTTGCTAAAATGTGATTGGAATCTTCAAGATCTGAACAAGAATTTTCTGCTAACGAATTAGATTCAAAATCGTTTCTATTGATTGCTATTATTATTTCATCACTGACGAAGTCATTAGTCCTATGGTTCGAGAGATTAATCGATATGTACAACAATGCTGACAAATTCTTCAATGAAAACCAACTATTCATGAAGAAATGCGCAAAAACTTCTAACAATTTCACTGATTCAATATTGAATAAAACAAATACTAAATAGGTTTCGACGGAAAATGGTCATACATCAGTGTACATAGATTTATTCGATAAAAATATTGCGTGCATACAATAAGAATCTGGAAAGAATTGAGACAAGATCATCGACTATAGTGTACATTTTGTTTTCATTAAAGAAAAGAAATGATTATTTTTTGTTCTGTTCGTTATTGAATCATTGATTTAAATAGATGAAATTCATGTCATGATGTGATTTTTAGTTTAAAAGGAGGAAAAAAAATCATGAATCATATGAATGAAAAGGAGAAAAACGAATCACGAATGTATAAAAAGAAGTACAACGTTGTTTCTTTGACTATATTAACAGATTGAAACAGTTCAATCATCAATTATTTCTACACGTCCGTTTTCACAACTCGAAACACGAATCAGATTGTAATGAAGTTTTCTGCATAGGTAATTCGATCTCGATTGTTATTAATATTGATGAGCTATTATAAAAATATTAATGTCAGTGTTTCTTATAGGATATTTGTAATACAAATTACTCTTGAATAAAATGCGAAATTTTCACATTTTATATATCTTGGTGCACAAAAGAATATTCAAAACCGTTCGATACATTTCCTATTTATTTCCCTAAGCAATATAACATTTTTTCCCCGATCAAAAATTGTTTTCATCTCCATGAATAATTTAAATATTCGTACTTTTTCTCAGCGAAAAAAAGCACCTTTCATTACTTGTATAGTTGATGCCATTAATATGAATTGTCACCTGTTTTTTTTCTCAATTCTACATCAGTACGATGTGAATTTATGTCAACAGAACTTATTTGCTTTGCCTACAAGCGAGAAATTGCCTTTTTTTGTACATGATTTATCAAACATCGTAAATATACCGATGAATAAATAAATTAGAAAAACATTTTTTGATCAAGCTGTTAAAATTACTGAGAAGTAAGACGAAAATCTTTTTATCTCAGTGAAATTATAGTTTCAATCGGAATTGAAACTTTCATTTCTATGATATTGTTTTAGATATTTACTTTTCAAGTGAAAGACAATGAAGAGGCATAATAATAATAAGACAATAGATGATCATCCTTCGATCTCACTAACGGAAATCGCACGGATGACCGATCAATTACAGAATATTGATGAAGAAGAAACAATAACAGTAACAGTGAACGATTCTATTGAAAATAATCTTCGAGTTGTTGATGTAACTGTTGACGAACCAAATGTCACTCCTGCGCACATCAATAATAACAACCAAGGAAATTCAGGTCCTATTATTGGATATGCTCAAGCACCTTTATTACCACTTGTTAAAGCATGTGCGCCATTGACTCATATTCTTCATAATTTATCATTCTATGTACAAATGGCACTTAACGAAACTCCAGAAGAACCACCTGATGGTTTAACAATTGATGAAAGTGCTGCAATTCGTCTATACTCAATGGAATGGAAACAACCACATCGAAGTCTTTATTCCATGCTTAATTATACAATCAACAATGATCGTCAAAATTTGCCATATTATTATAAGTATATGAAACTATTCTTAACTGGTTTAGTCAAATTACCATGTCATCCACCGTTAACCGTTTGGCGAGGTGTGACTAAAGATTTAAGTGCGCATTTTCCACCCGGTGCATCAGTAACTTGGTGGGGATTTTCATCATGTACAACTTCATTGACTGTATTGAATAATAATTTGTATTTGGGTAATAGTGGTGATCGTACATTATTTTCCGTCGAAGCAATTAATGGTCGAGCAATACGTGCTCATTCACGTTACATTACTGAAGAAGAAATTCTTCTTTTACCTGGTACTCATATGATAGTCCAATCACAGTTGAATCCAGCACCTGATCTTCATATTATTCATTTGAAACAAATTATACCGGACGAAGTTTTATTGGAACCACCATTTAAAGGTATTTTTGAATATTTTCATTTATTTATTTTAAATGAATCCTATTTCTAAATTTAGGTGCACATATTTATCCAGAAAATCAGTAAGTTGGACATTATCTTGTAGTACTCGTAGTTTTAATCGATGTTTTTGTTATATTTACAAGACGTCAGTGGTATCGAATGAAAAGATTCGTCATTCCACTCGCTTTATTGATTGCTCTTATCATTGCAGCAATCATCCTTGGCTCCGTTTTAGGAACAAGAGCTAACAAAACTTCAATAATTAACAGTACTTCAGGTACGATTCTTCTCCTTTCAGTTCGGGAGAGATGAGTATTACATATCTACATTTTCATATTTCCATTCAATTTGATTTTTAGTGTCTGTGTGCGACAAGCCATTTGAATACAAAGGTTCTTATGATACTGGAAATTATCCAGTTTCTACTACACTCGGCTATTTTACTAATGACAAAAACTTAGATGCAGTAGTAGCTAACAGCGACGACAATTATATCACGTTAATGCTTGGAAATGGAGATGGAACCTTTATATTTCCAGGCAAGTATGCGGTTGGCATGTCTCCCACTTCTGTGACGACAGCTGATTTTAATGGTGATGGTAAACTGGACCTTGCCGTGGCTCACGGGGATGACAACACCATCAGTGTGTTACTGAACAATGGAGATGGATTTTTTCAGACTCCAACATTTTATACAGTTGGTCGTTCCCCTCAATCTGTGATAACATATGATTTTAACAATGATGGTCGATTAGATCTAGCGGTAGCAAATTATTTTGACGATGCTGTCTGCATATTACTTGGCAATGGGGATGGAACTTTTCAGACCTCAACATTCTATTGGGTTGGTGATGTACCGGTCTCGGTAATATCAGATGATTTCAACAATGACAACAAAAAAGATCTGGCAGTGGCCAACTATATGAACAACACTATCAGCATATTACTTGGTAATGGGGATGGAACTTTTCAGTCCCAAAAATTATATTTGGTGGGCGATTCTCCACGATCTGTGGCATCAGGTGACTTTAATAATGATAAAAGAGTGGATCTGGCTGTGGCTACCTTTACTGGAAATACTATCAGTGTGTTACTTGGCAATGGAGATGGAACATTTCAAGCTCCAACATACTATGTGGTAGGTTCGGTTCCAAGTGCTCTGGTAGCATATGATTTCAATAACGATAAAAGTATAGATTTAGCAGTGGCCAATTGGGGCGGTGGAAGTGTCAGCATATTGCTTGGCAATGGTAATGGAACGTTTCAGGCCCATGTGGATTACATGATTGGTAGAACTCCAGTATCTATAATATCAACTGATTTCAACAACGATCAAAAACTGGATCTCGCAGTGACCAACTACTACAATAACAGTATCAATGTGCTATTTGGAAAAGGAGACGGAACTTTTCAGGATCAAACGCACTATATGGTTGGTGTGTATCCAACTTCTTTAATATCAGGCGATTTCAACAATGATAACAAACTGGATCTTGCAGTAACTAACTATAATGACAGTACTGTAAGTGTATTGGTTGGTAATGGAAATGGAATGTTTCTATCTACAACGAACTACACAGTTGATATAAATCCAACTTCTGTGACGCCAGCTGATTTCAACAACGATGGCAAATTGGATGTGGCAGTGGGTAACTATTACAGCAACACTATCAGCCTACTGCTTGGCAACGGAGATGGAAGTTTTCAAAGTCCAATGAACATTGGAGTTGGTCAGGGGCCGCAATCAGTACTGTCAGCTGATTTCAACAACGATAATAAAACAGATCTGATCGTGACTAACCAAATTGATAATACTACCAGTGTGTTATTGGGTAATGGAGATGGAACCTTTCAGTCTCCCTTAAACTTTATAGTTGGTGGTGGGCCACAATCTGTCACATCAGCTGACTTTAATAATGACCGCAATGTGGATCTAGCAGTGGTTAACTACTACAGCAACACTATTAGCGTATTACTTGGTAATGGTGATGGAAGTTTTCGGAATCCAGTGAACATCGGTGTTGGTCATGGACCACGATCTGTAATATCAGCTGATTTCAACAATGATAACAAACAGGATTTAGCAGTAACAAATTTCTTCGAGAACACCATCAGCGTGTTATTTGGTAATGGAAATGGAAGTTTTCTGGCTGCAAGGAACTATAGGGTTGGTAGTCGACCAGTTTTTCTGATATCAAATGATTTCAACAATGATATCAAAAAAGATCTGTTAGTAGCCAATTATAACGATGGAACTGTCAGTTTATTGCTTGGTTATGGTAATGGAACTTTTCAAAGTTCAATCAAATATGCAGTTGGAAAGGGTCCATCTTCTATAGCGTCAGGCGACATCAATAATGATAGCAAATTGGATGTGATTGTAACAAACAAAGAGTCTGTAGGGATGTCTGTTCTTCTTAACGGTTGCAATTAGTTGATAATCTTATTTCAAATATATTGACATACGTATATGTGAATCATTAATCTTGAGTGTGTGTGTGTGTGATTTTGAATAAATAAATATCGTCATCAATTTCGACTTCTGACTTTTAATGTTAATTCTCTTTCTATACTCAAAATATTCCCTATCGTTGACTTACACTTAAAAATAAACTGATTTTTTTTTGTATCAGCAACAAAATTATATTGGCTAAGTTGTGGAAGTTATTTGATGTCGCTTTAACTTTTTACTAACAGTTTAGAGAAGTTCTATCGTGAACTTGTCAAAAAAAATCTTCGAGAATATACTCATAGCCTTCATAGTCGAACAGTCAAACGTTTCCAAAGCCAACTCGTATTTGTTGAGCGAGCGTACATCAGATTGGTTGTAATTAATTGTTAAAATATATATAATTAAGTTTTAAAACCCTGTTTGAGAGATTATGTAAAATTGTTCTTTGACATTTTAACAAAAAGAATTAGTCCTCGTTTACATGGCAGTTGCATTGGTTGTACGAGAAAATAAGAAACTTTCTTTGAAAAAACTACCGGTAAATTCTATTTATAAAAGAAATTGAATAATAAGAATTTATTTAATTGTCCGAAAACGGACTGAAAGATCCTTTAATTCAAGTGAACCATATAGCACAAAATCCAACTGATTGGAAGTATGTTCATTTTTGTTTAGCAAAACCAGGATTAATTGTTGGCAAGTTTATTAAAATAAGAAAAGACACCGTTGGTAAAAACAAAATCTTGAATTTTTCTCATCTTGTTTTTTTTGCATTTAAGGTATTTATTAAAACAAAAGCGAACATATATTGCTTGTTGTGTTTATGGTGCTTTTTCTTAATCTACTGTACATAAACATCACATTTGTCAATAACAGCTGCAGTTGAAATTTGCTAAGAAATGGGTTCACCGTTTCCATTGTGTAAAGTTAATTATAATTTTCTTGTTTGAGCACGTAGTACAAATGTTGTTTTATTGACAAAAGAACTAACAAACAGTAATTTAACATATGGTTTTGATTGATTTTCAGAATTTCAATCAATAAAACAAGAATATTGCAGTAGAAAATTTATTTATAAATTAACCAATACATATTTATGATTTTTACCTTCTGATTCACGGATTTATTGTAAAAATATTTATTAATATTTCTTTTCGAATATTCAGATTAATTTAACACGAAAAAATTTCTTTAATTGTTTTAAAGAACAAAGTAAAATCATCGCAAGCGATAGAACAAAACGTCTGTGTAATGATTTTAGTGAATATGATAGCCGAAAGAACTTTTTCTATATATTTATGATCATGTCATTTTCAAATAATTCTGCGAAATATTCTTTTATTAATCTAAACTATTGTATTCTTGAAAGCTTTATTGTGGTTAGCACTGCCAACTGTAATCACATTTGTTCCAGACAGAACTCGATGAGCTCTATCGATTCTAATCAGAAAAGTTTTCATCCACCCTCACCCACATCCTCAATAATGTTAGATAGTCTGATGTGTATACGCCTTTTTCCGTTTAGATCTGTTATGTACATTTCTTCACTCAATAGTCGTTCTAACAAATGTTAATCTTCAATCATTTCATGTAATTTTTTAATTGTGAAATCACGTAATTGCTCGAGAATATTTAACGGAATGACGGGATCAGGTCCCCCAAACATAATTGTGAATACTCCATTAACAGTTTGAAATGTAATAAATGGCATATTTCCTTGAATCATATTAAGAATCGGAGTCATTCCTTCAAATATCCATCGTCCATATTGTTCATGAAATGGTAAAACACCCCAACTAGATATAGAACAAGTAGTAAGTTGAGGAGGCTCAGGATAATCTAACATTTTTGAAAACATTTGCCCACCCATTATACCAAAAGTAAGAACTTGGTTAGCATTAATGCATTTAACTGTATGTTCTCCGAATCTTTGAGCAAGTTGCCATGTTTCTGCACATGTTGTTGGTACATTTCTCAACGGCATTTCGAAAAACATAAGACTTGATACATGAGTAGATAGATCATGGTTCGGAATTGGTGGAATATATCGTCGACGTGAATCAGCTACAACACCTAATCGAAATATACTTCTTTCGACTTGTTCATGATCTACTAATAATGAAAATGCATATATAATAGCACTAGAAACAGCAGATGTAATTGATACACCTTCTTGATGACATTTAATAACCAATTTTTGTGTTTCTTGTTTATTTAATATTCCATACGCAGCTTCTGAATGGCAATGATCAGCCATTTCAGCTAATACAAAATCAACGTTAGCTAATGGAATTTTCGCTATTGGTGATCGATTTGCTACCAATGTGTATAACATTTGAAACATTAATTTACTAAATGATAGTATTCTAGTTATTTTTGAGAGACTTCTTTGTACTGCTGCTTCCATAGTTATTGGCCAATCTAATGATTTAGAGAAAAGGTTGTCATTTTCATCAGCTAAAGCGATGAGAACTTCATGTGCTGCATTACTCAATGATAATGCATCAGAAACACTATGTTCACAAATAAATACAATTTCTCGTGGACTATTATCATCATGTTGATTTTCTGGATCCTAGAAAATTATCAAAATATTAGCTATATCGATCATGAATTACTATATACGTATACCTGCAAAAGCCAAAATTCAGCTAAGCCTTCACCAATGATTGTTGTTGTTTTTTCTCGTTTTCTCCATTCCTGTTTCCAAAATACTTCATGATCGGATTGTTTTCTTGATATTTCTATGATTTTAAGTTGAAGTGTATTATCTTCTTCTAAGAAATAACAATGTGTTTTTCGAGGATTTCTTTGAAGACGACTTCGTAGAATAGGATGACGTTGCTGTAATTTAGTAACTGCTCTAGATAATCTTTCAAAAGATATATACGGTCCTTGGAGATGTAAAACTTCACAAATTCGCGTTGCTCCTTGATATTTCTGTGATGATTTCATGTAAGCATTTTCCATCGATCCTAATAAGCGTTGATTCCTTCCATCAATAGATAAATCATTTCTTTTACATAAGGAAAACATCTTGATTCTAATTAAAAGTTATCTTAAATAAATATTCGTATGTCATTTGTAAATGATGATTTTCTTTTACTCAATAGATTATTTTATAATTTACTTACTCCAGATCATACACATAGTTGTCTCTCATGGCACAAGATCAAAGGACTTCACAAATATCCAACATAATACATTCTAAAATAACATAATTATTTCGCATGAATGAGTGACATCTACTGATGCTGACTTTTACTTGATAATAGAATTTTTATGCAAAAATAACGACGTAATACTGCGCACCCAAGCAGACAAGAGTTCGGAAAAACGCGTGTTCACGCTTAAAAACTGCTACTTTTGAATGCTTACACACGTGTAGAGATAAGTGGCCGTGTAGACAACAACATTTCAACTTTTTACACGTAAATTTGGAGAATTTTAGTCGTCAACAATTTCTGTTTCCACGCGTAAAATACTCACTTTGTTGCCGTGTATGCGCGGATTGTTTCTAATCAGTGTGATTTTAGTCAAAATGTCGGATAATTACGCATTTTCACCCCAAATTCTGAGGGCTTGTTTGCGGGTACAAGCGCTGATTCTGCGAAAACCATATCGTCATCACGTCAATATTTTGAACAATGAAAAAAAAATTCTCGCTGGAGATGACCTCTCTCTAAAAACAAATACATCCTCACACCCTCAATTTTATATAGTTATTAAGAATATAGTAAATAAATAAGAAGACTTTCACAAACAAAACAATATCGAACGATAATTTGAAAATAATTGATCTTTTGAATTTATATTCAGAAGATCTATTTACATAAAAGGGCATTTCTCATTTCACGTCGAAAATGTTTTGATAGCACTAAATTCGTGAAAGTTCCTATACAAAACGGAATAGCTGTTCCAGTGAGACTAGTTACAAAAACCAATCGTTCAGTGGTAACTCGTAAAGAACTCTTCGTTTGACTTAAAGTTGCTTGTTGATATATAACAATAATAGATTGAATTAAATTGAATACTATATAAATAACGATGTCAATAAGAAGAATTTTAATAAGAAGTCGATCTTTTGCTTGAGTGGAGCATGATGGTAAACGATCACTTTGCATTATTCCAGTAATTCTTCTAGTGCCAGAAACAACTGGAGTTTTGGTTCGAATGTTTTTCACTGTCCATAAACCAAAAATAATCATAAGAGATGGAATAAGAATACCTTTAACAATTAATGGATAATAACTCATTATAGTTAAATATAAACCAGATTGAAAAAAACATCCACTTATACCCAATGCAAATATTCGAATATACATAAAAATAAATGAATGAATATGAATTATTGACCAAAATAATGTTACAAGAACTATTGAAATATAAGCAAGATGAACAGTACTCTCTTGTCTTATCAAAGCATTATGCGATGTAAGAAATACTCGATCAATTGAAGCTAATATAAAATAACATGGTGGCAAAATTTCAAAAAGAAACATTGTATAAAAACGAAAACTACAATAAAATAAATTATATCTTGTCGGATCGATTGAATAACCGAACGATAATGTTGAATATAATGTTGATGTATAAATAAAAAAGATACTACTGACATTTGATGCTATTAAATAAATTGAACATGGATTTTTTCGTAATGTTTTCCTACTAAAAACACATAAACTAAGTAAACAATTAATGGTTCCTATAAGAATTAAAATTGGACCACCATATTTATGTATATTTGTAACCAATGATGAAAATAATACGATTAAATCATTGTCTGAAGACATCTTTGTTGTCTGAAGGAACAAATAAGAAATGATTTCTCCAGGGTAATCTTTATCTTACTTTGAGTAAAATCCAATTAATACTTTCTTCCTTTCGTCTATTATGATCTCAAAGATAAAGGGCGATGGATGTTAACAAGTAAAATCGGTCACCTTCAAAAACCTACATATTATCTTCAGAAAATCATTATACATGATATCCTGCATTACTTTATAATTATAAAAAAATGTAAGATAATAAGTAGGTTTTTGTAGAAGATCGATTTCACTTCTTAACGTCTGCCGTCTTTTCATCAATAATTTTTATTCTCTCAATTTTTGTCATATAAAAATTCTATGCTCTATATTATTTCATCCTTCTTTCTTTTTATCAAATTAACCCTAGTCCCCCCAACAAGGGGCATTTTTTACCCACATCCGAAGCGGATGTTTTTTGATACGTAACCGAGTATAACATTTAGTTTTGATTTTTCGTTAGAGTTAAAAAGGTCATCGTTTTAATACGCTCTGCGTGAAATCACATGTAAAATATCATAACTTGAATTGCAGGGCTAGTTGCAAAAAATCCTAAAAGAGCACGGGAGGACTAGGGTTAATACTGACAGTTTTCATATGTCGTCCGAGAAGATCATTAGTTTCTTTTTATAATTGAATACACTATTAGACGAGAAAAATACACTTACGTAAACTATGTTTGTTATGATATACTTAAACTAAGTCTTTTTTAAAAGATATATCTTGACGATCAATTTGTCATTTGATGTTCTTCAAGTATAAAAGAGGATGCATTTTTATTTCATATTTACATTCTTTGAATCTTGTACGATTTAAAATCTATCGAAATGATTTCTGTCTGTCGAAAAATTTCATTCCGTAATTCCTATAAGTTTTGTTCAGAAATAAAATAAATGATAAGTTTACTTATTCAAATGATGATTTTAATAAGCTTACCTGGGGCGTACCTAAAATTCGTGGCCCGATATTTAAAGGACGTTGTCGACTAGAGTGACCTACTTTAAAATAAGAAACCAATATACTGTATTATCGAGATTTTCGAAGCATATCGAATGGTACCTATTAAATACTGTTTGCAAAGAATTTTCTTTAATGAATTCATATTGGCACGTCCGTATAAGCAACTTTGGTTACTAATTATTGTTATAGATTGAAAACATTTGTAAGATACTGTTTTCCATGGGCCACAGTCTCGTATTCGCACCATTTCCGATCGTCTTGTAAATATAAACATGCCTACCGATTTGCAGTAGTTCATTGTTAAATTCATACGAAGTCTTTCAAAATTCTTTGAAAACAGCATTTAATATATACTATTCCATACGCTTCAAAAAGTTCGATAATATAATACATTGGTTTCTTATTTTAAAATAGGTCACTGTAACGAAAAAATGATGATGAGAGAATGAACAAGAATGCGAAATAATATTTCGTGATTGCAAAGGTAAACTGGAGGAATAACATTATCGTTATTCTTCACATGTAGATGATGTTCACTACATTGTTCTATACTTTACTGCAGTTGTGTCTCATATTCTCTTTCTCGTAGAGAAGAGTCTTAGAAACATAAGTTGTTTGCTTGTTTGTTTGCTTGCTTGTGTGTCCGTACTTCACTGATTGTTCAAAAAATCAGATGAAACTAATAATCTAAATCTCTTTCTTAAAAGCATGGCCTAGAGGTTTTTTGGGTCGAGGAATTCGAATCTGAGATTATTTTTTATATTCTTTCAGAGAAAAACAAAATTCGGCCACAGCCAAGCGTATCAGTACGATGTATAAATTTTTTTTCAATTTTTCGTGACGTAATACTTGGTAATTAGTTGCCACAAGCGAATTTTGAAGTAACATCCATTTACCTGACAATAAGACTGAAATTCTTCCTGGCCTCTTACCTTCGGTACCAAACATGCCTGTGCTTCTCACCGATAACATTGCGTATGAACTAGGACTTTCGAATGGTACTCAAGGAATCTTTCGAGAGCTCAAATACGATGACAAGGAAGATCCGAGTGATTTAAAAATAAAAAGCGAAGTATTTCCCTCAAAGACAATCTACATACGAAAACCATTATATGCGCTCGTAGAAATTAATACATCACAACTAGAAACAAGCCTCGATAGGCTTCGTACTAAACTAATCCCTATTCCACTCGTCAGAAAGCAATTTACTATTTCCGTCAAGCAACTATTTGGTCAACTGTTCGAACGTATGCAAGATGGCAAAAAAGTCCCATAAGTGATTCAATTTACACGAATGCAACTACCAATTGTACCTGCCTTCGCAATAACTACATATAAGGTGCAGGGACTCACGATGAACAAAATCGTACTCGATCTTCAAATTCCACTTACGACACTGCAAGCGGCATCAGTATATGTACCACTCAGCAGAGTAAAGAGAATAGAAGATGTAATTATTCTTCGACCTTTTGATATGAAGGTATTACAAGTCTACTATTTGACTTTGTATAAATCGATACTTGATAAGAGTTTAGGGTTATTTCAAGTCTATAAAACATTATCTTTTTTCAAATTATCTTAAAATAATTATTCGTATATCTCCATTTTCCTTATCCTTCCTTACATTTATCTTACCTATTGTAGTAATTTTTCTTTTTCTCTTATTGTAGCAGATATTTCCTATCATGCTTTCTTACTGCTCTTTTTTTATGTAATAGCTCATAATCTTCTCAATTGCGTTGACACTGACTTAGAATATCTAATTCTCTATTTAACATTTGGTATAAATGTCTGGTCTACACTGAAAATAAACTAATATACACAATAATATCTAAAAAGTGTAACTTCTGAAAGCAATATTTCTACGAGAAAGAAGTGAGCGAGTCGCTAGACGAGCGTTACTTGTCATACAGAACGTTGTCTTTTATAGATGACACAATGAAGAAGAAGAAGAAAGAAGTGAAGGACGAACCAATACAATGAGAAAATCTTCAATAGTGTACTTGTTGGCACAATGCTTTTAATCGACAACGTCCGTTAAACTTCGGGTCTCGAATTTTTGTTATACCCTAAGTATATTATAATAATAACAACGAAGTGAAATATTCTCAAAATAGGTTTTCTAATTTCAACAAAATATTGAATGTAAATGAACACAACTTAGAAAAGTGAAACGAAAAAAATAGTGTCTACCGTTAAATAGAAAAGAAAACTTGCACTTATATTTACAAACAATAAATGAATAAAAAAGTTGCAATTATATTAGAGATATAAATGAACCAGATGCGAAGAATGGATGACAAGTAATAGAGATTTGGTGTGTTCTATAAGAGTTTTTAAAAGCATTCTGAAAAATGCATCGGTGTTTCGGCGAAGAGTTTATCTAATCTTTGCATCTGAACGATTTGAGACTTGCTGGGTTTGATCAGTAAGACTTTATAATCGAAATGCCGCAAAATAATTAAATCAGTTGAACGTTTGACTCTTGATAACCGTACACAGATTGCAGCGACACCATCTGTATCTTTCTGTAACTTCACCCAGGTCAACAAATCCGATGCTGGATCCGATCGGATCTTACCGGATCCGACCATCCGACAAAATCCGATCGGATTCCTGGAAACGGAATTGCATTGGAATCCGACTAGAAAAATCCCGTCGGTTGTTGCAAATTTTATGAGCGATCTTTCTAACTATATTCTATGATGATCCTTTGAAAATCCAGGAAATCCATGTTTCGGGTCCGACGAGATCCGATCNCGACAAAATCCGATCGGATTCCTGGAAACGGAATTGCATTGGAATCCGACTAGAAAAATCCCGTCGGTTGTTGCAAATTTTATGAGCGATCTTTCTAACTATATTCTATGATGATCCTTTGAAAATCCAGGAAATCCATGTTTCGGGTCCGACGAGATCCGATCGGATCCGAGACCGTCGGAATCCAATGCAATTCCGTCACCAGGATTTCATCGGATCCGTCGAATTCCTGTAGGATCCGATAAAATTCTGTATTGGATCCGATGGGATCCGGTGGGATCCGAGTATGGGATTGTTCGACCTGGGCAGATCAATTACGACTTTGCTTAAAGTTTATCCTTGACTTTTATGAGTTGTGATATCATAGGCGGGCACACAGATAATGCGCGTCGTTTAATCGATAACAATGCTTTTCTATTTGTCTTTGATTTTTTTTCTTTATTTTCGAAAGAATATCAGAAATGTCAACCTGAACTGTTTGTTCTATTATTGGTATTGGAATAAGTTTTGGTTGGCGTTTTTCAAGATTACATTTTATTTTTCATTTGGTTATTTCGACCAGTGAATACTCTCTTGATTTCGCATATATTGTAGATCATGGAGATAATCATGGAAATAGCAAATGTCTCAATGTAGAATATTTTCGAAATCTTGATGAACAAAACTTTGATACGGAAAACAATACAAATAAACCAATCGGTATTGTTTTTATCAAATATTGACTTCTTTCACATATGCTTTAACATGCAGTCTAATCAAAGCAGCTTTCATAATTTCTCAATAAATTTTTTTGAAAATAGAATAAAAGCGCGATTATATGAACAGTCTTCAATAAAAGAGAAAGGTTTATTTTGTTTCAATGAAATTATCTGGTCGAACAAAACATTACAAAGCATCTGAATCGTTGTTATCAAATTGTTTATAATAATCAGGTACTTGAACAGAGCGTTAAACGATGTGAAACGACAAAAGTTAGATCAAATTCTCCTGAACGAATTTCGTATAAACATGTTTGCCAATGTTTTTGTGTACAAAATTGTCCAACAACAACTGTTAAATGTTTTTCCATCATTAACAAGATTATTATAAACACCGATAATTAAAATAATTCTAGCCTTTCGTGTACATGTGATCATTTCTGTTAAAATATCACCCACATCGGTCTCTAAATCGAGAAAACGTTCAATTTCACGTAATTTCTATGATGTATCAAAAATCTCATTGAAATTAATCGTTTCAATACCTAATTTGTTCTTTGATAAATCGATTCTTTCTGAAACACAAACAATTCCAATAATTTACTTTGCACCGAGTGTTTGACGCCAACGTGCTTCAACTAAACCAATTGGTTCTAAATCCTAAATAGTCATAGTTGAATCTTCTGTCACATTTGCAATGTAACATCCGATAGATGAAGCGCTTTGTCATCTGGTACATCAGCTTGTCCACTCGGTACACTACCTGTTAAATGAGAAAGTCCAAATAATGCTGCGGTTTTTTACCATAAAGTTTTTCTACAAGTTCGACGGATTTGTTGTGTCACAAAGAGAATATTCTTCACGTTTACAATAATCACAAAAGTCACAAGCGATGTTCAGTCCAATTTTGAATTTCTTTACTTGATCACGAGTTTGTTCGATAATTTCCAAAAATTCATAACCACGAATATCACCATCATGCATATCAAGCATTTCATTACTATACAAATGGAAATTAGGATCACAAACTGTTGTTGCGGTGATTTTTAATAAAATATCATGAGCATCGGAGATTATTGGCAATGCCTTTTCAGCATATTCAACATGTCGTTTGTTACGTGAGACAATGGCATTTTGCTACCGAGTTTCATCATATTTCCGCTTAGATGGAATTCTTGAAGAAGAAAAATCGAATTCAATTAAGTTTACTAAAAAATCATTTAACAATGTTGGAGCTTTTCCTACGAATTTATCAGCGATTTGCGATAGAAAATTCATCGTTTGAAATCACATTTAACTTTTTCGTCAAATATAAAAAATAAGTAGTAGAGTACAAGAGATTTCGGTCGAAGGACTCGAATCCTCCACATGATCTTCTCTTTTCTGAATTTTACAATTTATTTCTTTATGTTCTTATTGAAGAAAGTGAAAAGGATTTCAATCGAATTCATTGCATAATGTAAATCGATATCAAGATAAAGATGACTTTGAACTTCCATAATAATGTATTCATTAAAAATTGTCGATGAGAATTATCATTTGGGTGATTTGTGTTTTCGATTTCCAAATCGAAAATGAAATTATCACAGGATAAATGATAATTCAATTGTTATCAACGTTCACCAGCACTTTAAAGAAGTGCAGAATCTTCAGATTTTCTCCAAAAATAATGTCCATTGCAATAATTCATGAATGGCTTATCCAATCAGGTCTATTTTTTTAACTCGACGCAATTATTGAAGAGACTTTTCAACAATATAGAACATTTCTGTCGCAACGAACTCTCTCTTCGCAAGTTTCTATGAAAACCAACGAAAATACAATGATCATCCATTGGATACACAAGAAAACAAACTTTCATCGTATTTATTATCACATTCAGTTTTGTTGACGAGAATTTTCGCGTAAGTCATTTATTATAAAGATACTTTTTTGTAAAAAACTCAATTACTTTTATCCTTCTATGTTTCACATTGACGAAAATCAATGATAAACCTTTACATTCATTTCTATCTGATCATGTTCACTGCACCGAAAAAAAACTGATTAAGAAAAGGTCAAAAAATCACGATTTACTTTTCATTTCATTCGATCAATAAACATAAAATGCAATATCTAACGAGGATCGTGCTTCTGCTTTTGCTCTTGGTCTTTTACCAAATTTTGCTCCTGATGCTGTTAAAGTTGTTATCGGACTGGGTGAGAAAATGTACGAAACCGCTAAAAATGCTAAAGCAAATAAAGGTACATGTTTGCAATTAGCTATTCACGCTTGGGAGTCAATTGAGATCTTATTATACATTCTCGGAGTTTCCGTACCAAGTCCTGCGTTTGATCGAGCTGTTGATATTTTAACAGATACTCTTTCAACTGGAGTTGATCTTTTGAAAAAATATGTTGACACAACACCAATTATTCGAACAATTTTAAGTAATCGATTCAAAAAAACAATTCGATACTTATGAACAAAGATTAAATAATCATAAAGATCGACTTTTATTTGCAATGGTTGCTTATACATTTGGATGGTTAAATAAAATTCAAACTCGACAAGGAATTACTTTACCATTAGTTGAACAAAAAAATCAGACAACATATTATCCAACAACACAAACACGATTTCTGAATCTTTCTTATTGATTTTATATGGTAAAAAACTCGAAAAATTTATTCATACTCCTCTTCTCTTCATAGATGTCGCTAAAAAGAAATCACATTTTTAATGGAAATTTCTTTTTTTTTCTCGATTTTATTTATTTAATTTTAAAAGAGAAACAATTTTAATAAAACGATATTTATTTGATATCAATTGAACATTTATTGATTGGACAGACGAATTGAACTTTGTGCATCGGACAGTGAGAAGATATTCCAAAAAGAAGCAAAATGGCTCCAACACGTGGTCAACGAAAAAGTGAAACAGTTGCCGCATCGTCATTTTCATTAGAACGACAATTATTATCCGATATTGATGAATCAATTCATTATGACTATGGCGATGAAGATGATCAACAACAGAATAAAAAAGATCAAGATGATGAAGATTCCAATGAAAATCCAATTGATCCATTTTCAACAAAACAATTTCAATCAAAACGACGACGAGGATTTCGAAAGAAACCCCGACCATTTAGTGAAGAAGATATTGAAGCTTTACAACAATTATCATGTGCAAAAGCTTTTTCAAGATTTCATTCACGAATGAAAAGAGAAGCACAAACAGATGAATCTATTGGAGATTATCTCAAAGCTTGTGCTTTATTAGCAACAAAATTACGTCATTGTAAAAATGAATTCTTAGAAGGTGATGATGCTGATCAACAAATTGAAACTTATTATAATGATCGATTAGAAGAATATTCAACTTTATCGAAACAAGAATTTCTTAATTTAGCTGAACGATACAAATCAGATATTCATCATACAATTGATAAATGGTTGAAAAAACGATCGAAATCAAGATCACATGCGAAGAAAAGTAATCCTGGAGAATATAAAAGAAATATGTTATCGGATGCTTTAGAAGCTCTCGCAAAAAAATAACTTTTTTCTTTGTATTATGTTATTTCACATACAATTTGTTCAAAATCATTTTTTCAATAAACATCAAATTAATATTACAAAGTCAATCACTGTACAGAATTCCTGTTAGTTCGATAAATGTTCACTATGAGCATATTATATAATGATTTTATATACCTATCAGAATGATATGATCTTTTAAAATGACTTTTTTCTATTTGAAACGATAATGACTGGATGAAAGAAATGACGCAATTTTAACCTGAAATCAACATGAACTTGTTTGTACTTAATATCGACGCGTACGCAATAAGACGAAAAAGAAGAAAAAGAAGAAGAAAAAAAGAGAAGAACGAAAGAAACAGTGGGCGCTATAGATACTTATATATAAACGAGTATGTTATATAGTTCGACATTCAAATAGCGTACATCGATATTAAACGAGAATCTTCGAATTCAAAATGTCTGCTTCGCACAAAGAAACAATCGAAGAACTTATTCGTATTGACAATAGTCGTCATGTTCATCATTTAGAAAAAGTTCTTGATGATCATGTAACAAAACAAGAAAACACCAAAACGGTTTATACAAATATTCAAGAAGCTCGAGAATATTATTCTATGGAACATGAAGCAAATCCATCAGCTCAATGGAAACTTTTGGATTTCAAACAAGGTGATGCAAATTCAGCACAAGCAACAATTTCGTACAATAATCATACATATGACACAAAATATACATTTAATTCAGCTGGAAAAATTCTAAAAATTGAATCACATCTTCAACAACAAAAACAGTAAACACCATGCCATCAGGAACTTCTTTTAGTTTTTCATAAGGCGTTCTTTTTTTTTTCATCAGACTAGTTTAGTTAGTTCTATTTTGAAATAAAACATTTTCTCGATCAGATCATTCATTGAATTCTTTTGAAATTGTCGATCCATTTTCCATTTCGATCATCAAATATTCAGACAAATAACAATTTGTAAGAATTGTATACTTGACAGAAAAAGATATCTTCAGTATCTATAAACATGTGTAAAAATAGATGGTTGTGCAAATATCAACCTTTGTACAACAAAATTTCATAAATTTTACTGTCCAACAGGGTTTTTTTGTTAATAATCCAATGACTACGATTGAATAAGATAGATCTTTCATGATGATTTGTTCACTTTTTATTTTCATCTGTGAAAATTTTGATAAATTGCTGCAAAATTCATGAGAGTTCATTGCAATTATTGTAGACATTGTTCTACTTGTTTGTATAATAGGAATTTATGTACTATTCAAAGAAATCTTTTTATATTCGATTTGCGGATCAACTTCAATTTCTTTTTTTGACATTAATTCATTATGATAAAGTTTTATTGGTATTTGATATTGATTTTGCTGATGAAGATCTTAAATTAAAAAAATCCAAATAAATCGAGAAGATTTGTATCTTATAAATGAAGATAATTATTTATTAATTGATAGAGAAAACAATTTTTAAACATAACTTGATATACAAATATTCATTTGTGATTTCTTTTAATAGGTTAGAAAATTTATTTTTATTTTTTGATAAATTCCTTATTCGAAATAAACAATCGATTATTAATTATAAATGAACAAATTGACCATTGAGTTCAGTTGATGATTATTCTCGAACATTACAAAAAATATTTCGATATAAAAAGATAAATTCGAAAAACAACCATTGGTTCTAATCGACCACCAATAATTCGAATTATTCGATTCTTTTGACTACAGATTGAATATACTTTTCACATTCTTTATCATTTGTTGATATACAAAATAATTCTTGAGCATTGATATTCTATTGTGTATCATCAAACAACCGATCTATTTACATCTTAAGTATCTTTTCATTAGTTTGTCAACGAATAAAGAAATTTTTAGTTGTATTTTTTACAAAGGGGAATAATAAAACGAGAATGAAATGAGATGTAACTTGAAGGAAAAGTGGATTTTCAATTTGTAATGTAATGTGAAGAATTTCTCCAGAAACAAATCTTGATTTATTTAAATAAACATATAATAGAAGATTTTAAACATTGATGATATTCTAATAGATTAACATGTGGATAAATTCTTGATAAATGTTTAATAATATTTAATTTTGATTTCAAATCTTCTTTATACATTTTAACTTGTAAATAATATTCTTAGATGAGAATAATTTTCACGTTTATTTCTTGTTGATGGAAAATGAATTATTTAATTGAAATTGAAATGATCAAAAATAGATTTCTCCTTCAATATTTCATCTCGTTAAATTTAATTTTTGACAAAAATATTTTTTATAATGATATCTGGTTAAAAATATAAGAATAGTTTTTTGTTATTGTATAACCAATTTCTCCTATAAATTCAATAGAGATTCGATCAATTTCTGATCTTAATTTTATTAAATTTCATCTAATTGTTCCAGAAATGATATCTCCATTTAAATAACATCTTTTCGTTTGATTAATATGAATTAAAACTCGACTAATATCACTATTATCCATTCTATTCAAAATAATATCACATAACAACTAAATGATTCACAATTTATTTAGTGAACTCAAGATTTTTAACTTTACAGTTATGTGTTGAAACAATCAAATAGAAAACGACTTTTTCTTTTCTTTTCATCAAACTTTCCAAAAGCGTTCGATATAAATTTAAAATAAATAAGAAGAAATATTGTTGATGTCAAGTAAATATACAAAAAGATCAAAAAAGAAAAAAAAAGAAGGGAGAAAATAGAACGATGTAAAATAAATAAAAAATTTTTTCGTAATGGAATAAAAAATTCAAACTGTTGAAAAACGAATATCATTCTCATCCTCTCATGAAGATAATCTGTATGAACATGTTAATTAGTTGATACAATACTTCAAGAAACATAATACGAAACATTATTTAAAATGTTTATGATGATTTATGATCTCCTATAAATCATGTTATCATATAATACAAATGGAATTCTTTTCTGTCCTATGTTTTATAATTTAACAAAAAAAACAAAATATATCAAAATGATTCAAATGTTTTTTTAAATAGATTTTGCAATATCAATATGTTTATATTGAAATAATTTAAGAAAAATTTTCTTAGAAATTCTTATTATTCTTTTAGGATTTCATGGAGATTTAATTGTTGCTTTAAAAACCATTTCATCTTATATTATGGTCCAACAGATTAAAAAAAATATTCAAAGAATATTTACCGTTGATATTTCAACATTGAATTAATATTTGGGTGTGGTTATAACGTTCTTTGTCTCGTCTTTCTTTTTTTTTTTTTATCTCTGATTAAATATTTTATATGAATAAATTGATTTATTATTATTTGAAAAAGTGATTTGTTCTACTTCCATTTGATTATCATATAACATATGTTCAATTATATTTAAAAAACAAGTTATTCATGTCAGAGATAATGTTTTTAATAAATATTGGTAAACAAATGACAATTTATATTGGTTGGTCATTATTAATAATTGGAATAATTGGAAATGGAATAAATATTTATATTTTTTCAAATATTGAAAATTATCGTCAAACTCCATGTACATTTTATTTTCTAATTTCATCAATTGATAATCTTTTAATTTTATTCGTAAATCTTCTTTCTCGTATTCTTATTTTAGGATATGAATTAGATTTAACAAAAACATCATTATTTTGGTGTAAATTCCGTTCCTATACGATCAATGTCTTTCCTCTATCGTCATTTTCATATTCATGTTTATCATCTATNTTATTCTAGACAAACTTGTTTTCGTTCTACGGTCTGTTACTGTTTGTGTTCTATAAACATTAGTGGGTGGAAAGGTGACAATGTTTTCATGTTGTTTAGACGAAAGAGACACACAATATATCAATATTCGTATTCTTTTACAAAATAAAACCAATTCATAAGAATAAAAACCGTTGAAAACGTTTGAAAAGTTCAGAAAAACTATTTCAGTATCATTTTTGACATGATTTTAAAAAAAAACCTTTAAAATCTTTTTATCTTTACTAAACAGATAGTTGAACTTTATCTATTATTATTCTTATTTAAATAAACAACACTAAGAATAATTTTGTACAGTAAAGATTGTTGATACGATCAAATCTATTCATATTTATTGTACTTCAAAAAATGATGAGTATTCATTAATGTAGAATATACAGATAAAAGCAATCTTATCCATCAGTATTGATGATCAAAAAGAAAGAATTTTTCTTCTTAAATCCAATCGATATTTTTACAATTATAAAATCATCTTTTCTAGCAAATAGAAGTTAAAATATGCCAAGAATTTAGTCAAATGAATTGAAAATGAGATGATACAGCTTTATATTTGTATATAATCATGTTTCTTAATTACTCATCGATGTAAATATTTTTTCTTATATCTCTATAGAATAGAATATCATTATCTATTCAAATTTAAAGATTAAAAAAAAAGAGAAAGATTTTTTGAAATGATTTCTTAAATAAAGAAAACAAGTTTTCAATTATATTTCACACTTTCATATCCATATTTATCATATTGTTCTCGTTTGAATTTATCTGATAAAATTGCATAAGCTTGATTCACTTTTTTGAACATTTCTTCTGCCTTTTTATCACCAGGATTTCGATCAGGATGAAATTCTTTTGCTTTTAATAAATACGCACGTTTGATTTCTTTGTCAGTTGCATTTCGATTAATAGCTAATAGATTGTACAAATCTAATGGTACTTCTTCTTTTGTTTTTGTACTTGATTCTTTTGTACTAAAAAAAATATTATTTAGAAAATATTAATCTTCATGAAAACAAACCGTTGTTGTTGTTGTCTGGATTGTTGTTGTTGTTGTCCATATGATTGATACTGTTGTTGTTGTTGTTGTTGTTGATATGATCGATATTGTTGTTGAAAAGGTGTTGTAAAATCATACGTAAATTGTGGAGCATTCGATGTATAATTTTGCCATTGTTGTTGACTGACTCGTTGTAGATAAATTTTTGGATAGTTTTTGGCATAAAGACCAACAAGAGGTGCGAGAATACAAGCAATTGGTATCGATGTTTTAAAAGAAAGAAGTGAAGCAAGTGCAATACCAATTGATGGATCAATCATTGATCCAAGTGTAACAATTGATGCTAATGCTAATGGATAAAATCCAACTAAAGTTGCTAATGTTACTTTTGTCATTGAATATTGTCGATCACCTTCAACATGACCAGTAACTCCATCAACTAAACATGTAAAATTTGTTGAACCATATTCATAATCAATGACATAAATTGGATAATATAAAAGACGTTCTTTTTTTGTATTTNTGAAAATTCCAATGTTCGTTATTCAACAGATTCCTATCGATCATCAATGAGACAATATCCATACGGAAATGATTATAATAATATTCTAAGTGAACGTCTGTGATAAAATTTTATTTCAATGACATAAAAAGCCATATGAACAAGGGATAATTTTATTTAAAATTCTTTTTGTTCTTTTTCTGTAGAAAATTCATTTGAAATTAATTAAAAATATTTAAACAAACAAAAAAAGAGATTCATTTTCTTTTTGTCAAAAGATGATTGATTTCTCAATACATAATGTTTTAATCGAATTGATGTTCTCATTTCAAATCTTTTCTCAATTTTACTATGACCAATGAAATAAATTTCTCTACATACACAATGACAATACTCTTTTTTACTAATCTTTCTCTTCATATAAAAATAGAAAGTATTTCTATATGTAAAATTACATTGTGATACTATTTTCATTCGATCATTTTGTCTTAATCCTTATTTATTTTCATTTAACATTGAATATTCGAAACAAAAGAAATGTCACATATGTCTCCTTGTTTTTATATTTTTATCCTTATCTTCATCTTCTGTGCACAATGTTCATCTTTATATATTGATTCTCAAATATCTAAAATTAATCGAAATAATCTTTCTGATTCATCACCTTGTCCATCACTTAATGTTTCTACAATTCGTTTAATCACATTTGATTTATTTGGTGCATTGATGTTAACCAAATCATCGTTACAAAGTAATATTGCTGAACTTTTACCATCATTATCATCAAGTGATGTTGAACGTTTCACTAATATTTGGGTTGAAGCATATGTATCATATTTTGGAAAATCATTTCCAAGATCACAAACACATCAACCATTTTTATGGGTTATTCATTCATCATTGTTACAAATTTTAGAATCATTGAAATTATCAACAATTGTACCTGAAGATAGTTTTACTTTTAAATCATTAATGAAAACATGGAGTAATCTACAACCACGTCCTGGTGTTGTTAAAGTTCTATCAAAATTAAGCAAAAAATATCAATTGGGATTACTTTCCAATGGTGATAAAGATACATTACAAACAGCGTTGCGTATTTTTCCTTCATCTGTAAATATATCATCAATATTCTCATCAGATTATCCAATAAATTGTTTTAAAACATGTTCTGCAATGTATGCTCAAGTATTAGAAGCAGTTCATGGTGATAAGACACAAGTTTTACATGTAGCTGGTTCAACATACGATACTCATGGTGCTCGAACTTTTGGAATTTTCTCTGGTGCAATTGATAGTTCAGCAAAAAATACAAATCCATCACCATGTTTTGCTTTTGATGATATACAACAATTGATTTCATTTTTTAATGTTTAAAAAACAAATCTAATACTGATTTTGTTTAAAAGACAAAATTTACAAATTCAATATAATTGATAATGAGTTATTTTTTTATTGAATAAGAATTAAAAAATCGTTGTATTATAACACGATGTATAACATGGTGGAACATCAGAACAGAAATCCCAAGTATTTCCACACCAAGCTGAAGTACATTGTGAACATGATTTAACACGTGTAGTTTGACAAGTTGGACTTGTTAAGACAAAGCAACATTTACATAAAACATCACCATTTGTGTAATTAATCATTATTAACGAGAAAATCAATAGAAGAAATGTGAATTGTATTTTCATCATTATTTCGTGATTCTTTTTTTTCTTCTTTTTTCAATAGTGACAATTCACTTTTAAAACCGCGTTTATATAATGATTTAAATAAATCTTCGTCATTGTTATTTTTTCTTGTCATTATCAGTATGATTAAAATATAAACTTATCGATTATTTTGTAGGTGTGAGAAAAACATTGCAAAAGTTATGTACATAGTTTTGAAAAAGTACTTCTTTCGATTGTAAAGTAATTTATATAAAAATAATTAATTCTTCTTTTCAATATTAAAACTTTTAATTATATAAGATAAAATTTAATATGTGAAAANATTCGTGGTCAATCAGATTCGACTATTAAAAAGAAATGGTGTGAAGGACCACGAACTTGTCTTGGTCTGATGACGACTGATTTTCCAAATCTATTCATGATAACGGGACCAGGAAGTCCATCAGTATTCACCAATATGGTTGTTTCGATTGAACAACATGTGGATTGGATTGCAGATTGTCTCGATTATCTGAGAAAGAATCAATTTGACACGATTGAACCGTCTCGAGAAAGTGAAGATGGGTGGGTCAATCAAGTCAATGCTATTGCTAATGCTTCCTTAGTTAACATGGCCAATTCGTGGTATTTGGGAGCAAATGTTCCAGGAAAACCACGGGTTTTCATTCCATATGCAGCTGGAATTGTTCCTTATCGACAGAAATGTGATCAAGTGGCAGCGAATGGTTATGAAGGTTTTCAATTGAAAAAGATGACAACTAAATAAGAGTACGGATATCAAAGTAGAAAACAAACAATATCATTAAATTATGTGTGTGTTTTGAAATTTTAATCGTTCTACGAAAAGAAACAGATGATTTATAATAACGATTGAGGATGTAAAACATAATAAATCTTAGTTAGAATGAGTTCAGATCCTCCCATTCATTTACATTATATATCAATCATTTCATTCTTTCATTGCATAGAACGTCAACTGTTTTTCGATTTCATCAAACTATGTACATAGTCTTGCTTGACAAAATACAAAGTTTTATTCTTTAACATCAACGTTATATGTTTCGATTAATTAAGCAGGAAGTATTCGTGTCAACCTACGTCGCTCTTGAATTTCTGTTTCGGCCATGCGACGACCAAAAAACCAATCCTTTATATCAACAACAAATAGTATAATTACACAAAAAAAAACAGTAGAAAAAAGTCCTTACCTCAATATCAACCAACCATCCAATTCCTTTCAGATTCCACTGATTGCATATTAATAGAACTTCGTTTACACTTGGCATTCTATTCATCGTATAATCTACAAAGTTAATGTTAAAGCATTTCGATTAATGATGGATCTACTTACATTCATTTAAATATTGAATTTGTTCATTAGTTAGTAACTTTTCTACTTCTTTCAATCCTAAGAAAGCGAAATTACGAGTAGATATCTACTTTTACACAGATTGAAATGATAAAAATTCAAAAATAAAAATCCATTCATCGATGTCCACATAGATCTAAACGCTCATTAGGGTCTTTTCTTTCTTTTTAACAGTAAGTTAATAGAAAAGTTACTCCAAATCATGTCTAACCATATCGAACATAACGCAATAGGATATTTTTGTTTTTATATTATACAAAATATTTCAACAAGAGATTTACTTCGAATCTTTTCGACCATTTCAATCAAGAATAAAATCATTTCATTCGTCAATAGAAATCAATTTATCATTTGTTACCAGATATAACTTACTCGAAGTACATTGAGCAAAATAATCCCAAGTCCAAAAACCATCAGTCATGTTCAGAGAATGATGAAAATGTGGAACACAAAACGAATTATTTCCTTTTCTTATTGACAACTTATATATCATTTCTATACGTCGGACGTACACAAAGAAGACGACAGGTCATTAACAGCGGCAATGTCCGCTATTGGTGCTCATAATGAAAGCAAAACATGAGCACCTTTGTCTTTTCATTAGAAAAGAAAGAAGATACAACATGATAAGACACCTTCATTGGTTTGAGATATTGCATTCTTAGAGAATAGAAATATGTCCTATACTCCATTTGCTACATATTGTTAAAACCTAGAGAAGACTTTGTATTTGTACTGGTCTTTATTTAAATAGAATTAAATTGATAAAGATTGATGATCAATTGTCTCGAAAAGGAATTAAATCAAAGGTTTGTTTTCATATTGGAATCGTTGAGATTAGTTCTATCATCATTTTCTAATTTTATGGCGAAAAAAGTTGATTATCTGCATTCTCTTATGTTCGTTGAAGTGGTTATTTACATTCCGAAATACACAAAATACTTTTCTTTTGATTTGTTTTTTTTTAACCAAAAATTTAAATTCCAATTTTTTCTTTTTCTATCCTCATGATTCAGACAAGATCGTAGTAAAATGACGACGAAAGTAAATTGAAGAAAGCCAAGAGAAGATTCATCAACTAAAAATGTTACGATGAAAAGCAAATTCAATCGATTGAATCCCATAATCAATTGTTTCTATTTCTTGACATGAAGTCAAACTTATCCATTAAAAGTGTGTGCAATGATATAACACAAGGTTTTCATACGAGAATATCTTCTATTTCTTATAATGTTACACATTGCGAAATCAATTGTGCTTTTGGAGTCGATTTCGACATCTCTAACTACGATATGTCATATACTTTGAAGTTGAATTCATGATTTCCTTCACGGAATCTCATCCTCAAGGAAACATTGAAGACAAGAATAGAAAGTTTCGGATATGTTGTTCTTATTTAGTTTGATAGAATCAACTAAAAGCTTTTTTCTTTATTCTTCTTTAAATAAATAAAAAACTTTTTTTTGGATGAAAACGATCAGTTTTCTCGACGCTCTAAAAAGATGAATTTGTTTATATATAGAAAATTTGATCAATCAACTTACTGTTTTCTTCAAGTTTCTTGGTTATGTACCGCAAATATTCAACTTCAGTACGAAATGCAGTCACCTTCGCTTCTCTCCAGGTTATTTCCAACTTATGGTGAACGCAATCCACATCGTCAATGGTTGATACCATCTGTTGTTCGAGTACTCGGATGATCTCCTCTTCTTCTTCACGGTCGAAGACCCAGGTCGTTCATTCCGGCGACTGAATCCCTTGAAATCTGAGTCGGATCCTGTACAGCTCTTCTCGATTCTGGCGGCAAGGAAATGGTCGGAAAACGAACCTAACCGGCCGGAACCGACCGTACCATAATAACCTGGGAAGCTTTCGTGTTATTCATCTCAAGTATTCAACTTCAGCACGAAATGCAGTTGCTTTTTGCTTCTTTCCATGCAATTTCGAGCTTGTGGTGATGGTAATCCACATCTTCCTCTAATAAAGAAAGTTGTTCCTTGAGAATTTTGACAATAATTTCTTCTTCTTTTCGGTTGAATAGACAACGAATAATCTATGCAGGAGAAAATCGAATTCGAATATTAGATTATAATCATTTAGTTTTGGATCTGATTGCGCCATCACGATGATAAATTTACGAGATCTAAAAAAGGAAAATTCAGTTAATACAAAGACAAACGGTGAGAAACTGTCTTATCTTTCTCACAGACAACTTATCCATGAATTACTACTTGTATCAATTCAAAATTACCCATTTCAGATTTGACCAAAACTGATACAATTCAACGAGATTTTCGTTTCCTTCATTATGACCACTGAACAACATAGTCGAAAGATGTCACCATGAGTAAAATTTAAAAAGTTCCATTTTATCGGTGTGAACCCAAGTCAAAGAGTACGGACCGGTTCCCATAGGAAAGCGCAGGAAATCACTGGAACATGGAAGCAGTATTCCGACCGGAAACTTTGGGATTTTTTCCGATGATTTTCGGTTAGTTCCTGTCGGAAACCACGTGAAACCGACTGGAATTCACCGGAAAAAATCCCAAAATTTCCGGTCGGAATACTGCTTCCATGTTCCAGTGAATTCCGGTGCTTTCCTGTGGGATCCGGTGTTTTTTCCGCGGCTTTCCTGCAGGATCCCAAGGGATCCGGACGCCGGAACGTGCGACATGGGAAGCTAGCACGAACAAACTTTTGGAAATTTTTCTATCGATATCTTTGTTCGTTTCCTTTAGGTCTATTTATAATTCAGATAGAATTTTTCCAAAGTTTGCCCGGTGAATAAAAGTATCATCATTCAATGCAGAATTAAATTCTGAGTCGAATGATGTAGCTTGCATGGATGGGACATATTTAGTAAAAAGTTTTTAGCTAATATGTCGTTTGTTTGTGCTTCGCTTCACATCGATAGGCAAAACTAATTCCATTTTGAGGATCTATTTTTGTGATTATAGGATATGTTATCTTAATTGATCTTTCAATTGTTGAAAATTATGCGGAACAGAAATATAGCTTATTTTAATTATTTATTGAAAAAAATAAAGAAAATGGATGAAATGTTTATTGTACACAAAAAAATCTGATCCAAAATAGTTTCGAGCATAATCAGGATCGACTGATGATGGCAAGAAAGAGAACTGCGTGCTTGCTTAGAGGAAATGGTTGAAGTAGAAAAGATATGAATAAAGACGCGTCGAAAATGGACCACACAAAATTCTATTCATCAACAAATTTTACTACTTTTCTGAAATATTAACATTTTGATTAGATGGAAGTTGATCCGATTCATCTCAAGAGAAATGACGAAATCGAATATAAATTATCTATTTCATCATCTGTTAATTTGTCGAAATACGCGAAATCATTCAGTATAATTCATACAGAGAATTGTTCGATCGCGAATTGACCTGTGATCGTACTTTTATCGTACTCGCTTATCGGTCAGAGGAATCAAAGAGTTTGACCGTGCGAAAAGTGCGTTTTAGAACATGTCTGGGTACGCAGTACTGTACTATATAAGCTCGGAGAAAGAAAGAAGAAATCGAAATATTCGAATCGAATAGACAACATTATTCAGTCAAAACTTCTGTTGAGGAATTCATCCGTCATCGTATCATTCCAATGGAACACTTGAAACAATTACCATTTTCATCATTGACTGGTGCTCTTCAATATCAAACACGAACAAAACCAAACAAAACTGCTGTATTGTATCCTGATCCAAAGAGCAATTGGAAAGAATATTCAACTCTTACGTACAAACAATATGATAATGTCACCAATCATTTAGCAGAAATTATTTCCAAATATTTACCATCTTTATCATCATCGAATGAGACGATCACCTGTGGTCTATTAGCAGCTGATAATATCAAATATTTATTATCTGAATATGCTTTATTGAAATTACCCAATGTGATTATGTTTCCAATTTCATCTCGAAATTCTCAGGCAGCAGTTGAACACTTATTAAAAGAAACGAAAACCATTCTTCTATTGACAACATCTCAATATTCATCAATGATGGAAATAGTTCGACAGAAAGAAGAATTTCAACATTTGAAAGTTCTTCTTTTGGACAACGACGAATTTGATTTAGAACAGATCATGGAAAAGAAAGATATCGAATATAAAATGACATTCAAAAGTGTTTCAATAGGTGAGAAAAATGACGAAGAATTGAATAAAAAAGTTGTAATTATTCACAGGTAAGCTTTTCACATTTGTATAATGGATTCAATTTGAGATTTCTTTCAGTTCTGGAAGTACAACGTATCCAAAACCAATTTATTTAACAAATCGTTATTTTCTAATCAGTTCAACTGTATATCAATCTATCAACACAGATTTTTGGCGAGAAGATGATGTTGTATTAACATGGGGTGCATTGTAAGTTTACTAAGTCATATATTGAATGATAAATATTTTCATAATGATAGATTTCATGCTTTGGCGTTCATTGCAACAACACGTGCAATTATCAGTGGATGTACATTCGCATTGCCACTTTGCGTTGGTTTTCCACCGAAACCAAACGAATTGCTCCATAATTTACAAGTGAAAAATGGTATTACGGTTTTGATAACCGTGCCCAGTTTACTTGAACAACTTGTACATGAAATACTTTCGGGGAAGAATCATTCGGTTAATTTTAAACCATTGGCAAATTTGAGGGCTGTCGCTTGCGGTGGCGCAAGTTGTCCAGATGAATTATGTCAAATATTAGTCGACAATGGAGTCGTTCTTTTAAATGTTTATGGTTCTACAGGTGAACAACACAACCATCATAGAAAAAAGGACGAGATTATAAAATAACTTTTCTCTTTTCTAGAAACTGGTCTTCTTCTCAGCAAAAATTTCAATCCTTATGATAAAAGATGGAAATATGTTGAAATTGCTGATGCTCGAAAACCTTATGTTCGAATTGAAACAGCGCCAAATACAGAAAATCCCAATGAAAAGATCTTAATTCATCAACCAAATGATCCATACTTAGCTGAAAATGTTTGTAATTATGCCAATGGTTGTTATACTGCTGGTGACATATTTCTCGAAGATCCACCTAATTCGGGACAATATCTCATCTTAGGACGTCAAGATGATACTTTAGTTCATGTTAATGGCGAAAAGACAAACGCACTTGCAATGGAAAACTCCATTCGATCTTCACCGCTCATTAAACAAGTTGCTATTGTCGGTCACAATCAATTTTGTACAGCTGCATTGATTCAATTGGATATTGAAGAAGCGTTCAATTATGAATTCGATGAAATTGAAGAAAAAGTGTGGAAAGTCGTTGAACAAGCGAATAGCAAAGCACCTTCTCATTCACATATTCTTCGACAACTTGTTAAAATCATTCCAATGAATAAATCTTTACCTGTAACACATAAAGGCAATATAATGAGACAAAAAGTGAATCAAGAATATTCAACATTGATTAAGAAGATCTATGAGAAGTTTTTCAATCAACAAAGTGAAACAACTCGACATGAATCACTTTGGACAAAAGAAACAATCAAAAAATACTTAGAAGATAAATTAAACTCATTCGTTCATGAAGATGATCGAACTAAAATCAAGAATTCTTCACGATCAATCTTTGATTTTGGTATCAATTCTTTACAAGTTATTCAATTGAGAAATTCGATTTGTCAAGATATTCATGAAATACCAAAGAATTTTATTTATGAATATTCTTCAATTGATCAAATGGTTGAAGAATTAATAAAACATTTTAAATCAGAGAATGTCAACAATCAATCCGATGATCCATTTCATTATCAATTAACCGAACAGATCATTGATAAATATATTAATTTAATGAAAACAAGAGAAGTTCCTCATCCTACAAAAGAACATCAACACAAAGAACGTGTTTTTCTTATTACAGGTGCCAATGGTTCTTTGGGTAATTTTGTTATTCGAGATCTACTGAGACGATCGGAATTGGTTGTTAAACGTGTGTTTTGTCTTTTACGTGGTTCAAACACACAGCAACGTCTCTTGGAATCATTCGAACAACGACAATTAGATGTTTCAATTGTCAAAGATTCGTTAGAACAACGATTAATCATTTTGCCTTTATCGATGAATTTAAGTGACGAACACTTAGGTCAAACCGAGGATATTTATCAACAATTACAAAATGAAGTAACAGATATTATTCATGTTGCATGGAAAATGAATTTCAATCAAACAATTAAAGATTTCGAACAAGATTCCATTTTTGGAGTTTATAATCTTTTACGATTAGCATCTTCCAATCAAATGCAATTTCATTTTATTTCAAGTATTGCATCGGCTGGTTCAGGTCTTTTATCAACTATTAAAGAAGAACCATTACCAAGAATGGCACAAGTTGCATTACCACAAGGATATGGACAAAGTAAATATGCAGCTGAACATTTATGTTGGGCAGCAATGAATTTATGGCGTAGGTTTTTCGTGTAAAACCATTTATTCACATATTCATGATTGATTTGTTTTAGATATACCTGTGAATATTTATCGTGTTGGTCAAATAAGTGGCGATACACAAAATGGTGTTTGGAACACAGGTGAAATGACTTCAATGATGATTTATGCAGGTGCTGGACTATTGAAGAAAATGCCAAATGTTGGAGAAGATGTTAATTGGATACCTGTTGATATTTGTAGTGCTTCATTAGTTGATTTAGCTTTAAAATCTTCTTTTCAAACAACAATATCTGACAATGAACGTGTTTATCATCTACTAAATCCTTTTCTGATTACATATGATCAATATTTAACTTCACTTCGGGCAGCAGGTTTAACATTCGACACAGTTCCTCCGAAATCGTTCATTGGTGCGATTTCAACAATAGCAAATACAACAAATCCATTGGTCAAATTATTGCCTTTTTTTGAACAATCGTTCAATGAGAAGGGTATTTTAGAATTATCCAAATATGAAACGACTAAAACAACTGAAAAATGTGAAATTTTGAAAAATTGTTCACCAATTGATTCAAATTTGATCAAATTATATTTGAATTATTGGAAGAAATGTCAAGTGTTACAATATTAAACAAAAAAAAAAAAACTTTATAAATAATTACTTCAAATGCTCTTTCGCTTCATAGAAATCTGTTCATGCTATGTATTTCTTAATAAATCTTGTACTTAAATTAGAATTTAGCTTGTAAAATAAAATGCTATTCTTATACAATCAATTTATTAATCGACTTTAATGAGAATACATCCTATTTCATGATGTTTCACTTGTTTAGATTATCGGAAGAAGACAATTTAATACTCTTAAACCTATTCATGGAAAGTTAGGATGTACAGATAAATGAAGTTCAATGATATCTTATAGTTAATCTGGCACCTATATAGTATTTAAGAGCAAATGTACCTGGAAAAGAAAGAGATTTTATTCTATATGATAATATAGAATTTTCCTTCATCGACAGGAATGGAATCAAGTAACAACAAATGTTTCTGATGATTTTCAATGGAAGAAAAACCAATGGAGAAAGATATTAATAGAAGTTTAACAAATCCAAATAGTTTAAAAGAATAATCAGTAAAGAAAATTGTCTTTTAATAGAAACTTCATTCAATGCTAAAATATCAAAAAAATTGAATTGCACATTCATTCTTACGAAATATGTCGAAACAACGAAAATATAAATCTATCGATTCTGGTTGATTAGGTGACTCAATTAACTTTTCTATCCGAAAACAAATTCTTTTATAACATTCACATTGTTTTTCCATTGAATTTTTTAAAAACTATTTTCAATTATTAATCGAATGATATGACCATTATGGATTATCAAAATTATTTATTGAAGAAAATAAAAATAATTTCTGTCAGAAATTTTAGTTCGATTAAATAAAAAAAACTGGATGAAATGATTTATCAGTCAGATGGAATTCTGAAGTGGAAGAGACGAATTTTCATGTTAAGCAACAAAATATGATCCGAGATGATTTCGAGCATAACCACGATTCGTTAACATTGTGTGATTACTCTCTACAAGAAGAAAGAATCAATATTAGTTTGATTGTGAAAATGAGATATTTACGTATAGCTTGTTTTGGTTCTGATATATGTTCTTTTCGTCCATTTTCGGCAATACGTAGTGGATGATTTAATTCATTTTGAACGGGAGCTTTGTAAACAACTCGATTTTTTAAAATACGACTAAAAACAATGATGATGAAAATTTATCGTATTGAAAAGAATTTTACCCATGATCATCGGAAACAGTTTCTAATTGAACACGAGTTCGAGCTTTTCCTGCAAATGTTTCTCCATGGTGATCGTATTGAGTTTTAAGAAGAAAATCTAATGAATCTAACGGAGCTTTTGGATCGTGTGTATAGACTTCATGTCTACCAGATGAAAGTGTAGCTGTTGAGTATAATCGACTCCACGGTTCATCGCGTTGAGCAATGTGACTGTCGCCTGCTTGAAATGGAATCTTTTGTTTTGCTACGCGACCCGTAAAAGTTTCTTCATTTTCAAGACGTGGATATGATAATGGATCACGATGGTTAACGGCTCGATGAATTGTGTGTGTCATATTTTTTTCTTTCAAATGGCTTGACTTTCTTCTGTTAGATGTTTGTTTTTTAATATGTTATGTTATGTTATGCGTATCATTTTCATCTCAAAGCTTAGTGATGTTGCTTGACAACCATCAATTGAGTCCATTGTCTTCTTTTAAGAGAATAAATAAATCATTTTATCTGAATTATTTCTGAAGAAATGAGTCAATAGGACTTTTAATAACCCGACAAGTTCATTTCTCAATAGATGGCGCCAATAGTCAATTGTTTTGTTTTTTCGTTGAAGAATATTGATTTCTCTGTAAGGAATTGGAATTGATTTCATATAATTTACATATCCCTTTTGAATAGTATGTCTACTTAGTTCAAGTATAACATCTATTTAAGAATAATCTTTGAATTGCTATGGAAAGTGAAGGACGTTCTTCATATTCGATTATGTTCTTGTTTTTTTTCTTTGTATCAAATACGTACGATTGGGACGAAGAATGACATATGACGAAAAGAATTTCTATTTGATTTGAATATTTATTATTGAACGTGTAATGACTTTTTCGTTCGCTTCGTTTATTGAATTATTCCCTAGAAATGCTTTTTCTCGTCAAACAATTGAACAACATTATATTCTCAAATTGCTTCACGTCTATTGTGTTTTAAGTTATCATGCTTAGTTTTGACAATTTCTTTGGAAATACGAATCAACAATGCAATGTGTTAAATAACAGCAAGAGTGAATCCTTGTATATCGAGGTTGTGATGAAAATAATACTGTCAAAGTCGTCTGATGACATATATAAATATTAGATGGAATTACTTCAGGTTGACAATTGAAATGAACTTTTTCGTTTATTTCTGCGAAGTAATTTCCAAATGTCTTTTTTTTTCTCTCGATTTTTTATTAATCAATAAAATAAGAAAAGACTTGTCGTTCGAAGAGAAAAATCTGTTTTTGTTAAATGATTTCGTTTTATATTCTGTTTTGTTCTAATAATTCGATTATGAATTGCTCCAATAAGTCTNTCTAAAGAGATGAAAATTGATTTTTTTCGAAAATAAATTCATTTGATCAATTGAAATTTTTCTCTTTTAGTTCAATTGATCGTGCAGTAAGTGTATTATTTCCAATTGGAAGTCGACAATTCTGTCGTCGACAAATTGCATATACAATAACATTTGTTCTTGTTTTTATTTTAACAATCTTAAACAGTCATTTTCTTTATGGATTTGTCATTATTTCTGCTAATTCAACATTAAATACTAAAATTGAATATTGTTATCATCGTGATGATTCTTTAACATATCAAAAATTATTTGCTGCATATGATTCTTATGTTGATGTTATTAAAACAAATGTTATTCCATTTATAATTATGAGTATTTGTAATTTAATTATTATTTTTCGTGTTTGTCGATCAAATTCATCAATTTATTTAACAAATGGAAGAAATGTTAATCGAACAACGAAATCAAAAAGAAAATATGAAAAAGATCGTCAATTAACATTTATGTTACTTGGTTCAGCAATTGCTTTTCTTGTTTTAACACTTCCAACAGAAATTAATGATATTATTCGATCACATTCAGGAGAAAAACTTGTCAATGAAAAAAAATATTTATTATCGGCAATTCTTCTTTCATTTGCACATCTTAATTATGCGGTAAAAAATAGTATCAAATTTCTTTCTTTATATAATAAAAATTTCTAATTTTTAGATTCATTTTTATATTTATACTTTAACAGGTGAAGTATTTCGACAACAATTAATTAAATTATGGCCAATAAATATTATTTGGCCTTATATTCTTCGTTTACTTCGATGTAAAAAACTCAATAATTCATCTCTATCAACAAATGAAACAAATCTAAATCGTAAAAGACAAGATGATACGATTGAAATGGATCAAACATTTTTTCAAACAGTAAATAATAATGATGATGATGATAGTCCAATTCTTTAAATAGAATTTTCTTAAATAAAAACAATTTTTTTTTTCTTTGAATTTATTCTCAAATAAAATAGTTGCTTTTGTTTTTCTTTCATATATTTATTAAATTCGAAAACATATTCTTTTGCAAAAAAACTCTTATTAAAAAATATTTCAAATTGAATTTGAAGATTGTTTTCATCTATTTAGACAAATTTAATGATATTATTAAAGATTTATTAAACGTAGAGAAATTTTACGTTGATATAAATAATTGATGAAATAGATTTATGTCAAATACAAATCTGATAAAAAAAGAAAGAAAAGGTGAATGAGTCTTCAAACGGATGTTACTTGTTTTTCAGTCTAATAAAGATCGGGAATAAATCTCATTTTCGAAGATGAATAAAAAAATGTACGTTTTTGTTTCTTCTTTTATCTTTGGTTCATTAATAATTTTTCCTTGAAGATAGAAATGATCTTTATTTCTAATTGAAGTAGAAAGAGAAAGAATGAATCCCCACGATTGATTTGTATCGTCTTTGTTTATATTTGATATAAGGTTGACCTATTGTATATAACATATAAATGATGAGGTTTCGATTAGAATAACTAGACAGAACAAACAAAATATATTTCTTCTATTATTCTTTTCTTAATGAACGTGTTGATTGATGAAAGTNGCGTGGAAAACGATCAATCATCCTAAAGTGAATGAATTTTGAATAATTAAAATAAGAAAAAAATTGAAAGATATTTTTTAAAGATTATCGAATTAATTGAAGGTTTAATACGTGAGATCTTTGGTTCGAATACAGAAATCAAGAAAATCGTGCGAATTCCAATACAAATACATTTTATTTCAATTGATTATCCATCATTACGTGGATTTTCTGGTATAAATGAAATATTTATCAATGAAAAATATTTTTTAACAAAGATCAATTCATACAAATCGAATAGTTCTTTATCGAACTCAATGTTAAAAATGGATTTAGCAGCGATAGCGTTACATGAATGTGCTCATGTTCGAATAAGACAAGTAATTATTGATTCTATTTGATATTTTCAAAGCGAAAAAAAAACAAGAGATTATCTGTTTAGCAAGTTGATGATATTAATATAAGTACACCCAATGTTCTTCAATTGTATCAAGTGAATAAACCGAAAACCGATGAAGAATTTGGTCGATTAGCCGAATTAAATCTTTTTCACGAACAAATTGATTGGTTTCAATCAATTGATACAATCAATACAAATTATGTGGAGAAATTTCTCGATGCAATTGAAAATGGAACACATCTACCATCACTTACAGAAAATGATGGAGCCATTCCACGTCAATCATCAACAACTATGGATGTTGATATTATCAATGATATGTTTATCTGTTAGAGATTTCATTCGAATACATCAATAAAATATTCATTTATGCACTTCGAATAATAATGTGTCTTTTCCTATGTCACCAATTACTTTTCAAATAAAAAAAAACCTTCTAATTTGATTCACCTTTTTGTATGACGTCAAATAATTTCTGTTCTCACAAACATTGTTGTTATCATTAAAAGATAAAGTGATATCATCTGTGGAATGAAAGATAAAAATCTCATTTTCAAAATGTTTTCATGTCTCTCAAATTCGTTACCTGTTGAATTAATTCATCATATATTTGAATATTTACATTCATATGAAATAATTCAATCGTTTTTCAATTTGAATGAGGATTTAAATCGTATCGTGATTAATTATGATCGTTACATCTGGGATTTTCGTGGTATACTCAAAATGTCAATTTGATCTTGTATGTCAATTTTTACAACCAAATCGAGTGATTTATTTAAGATTATGCGATGATGATGAAACACCTGAACAATGTCATATTTTCTTCTCTCATTTTCATATTGAACAATTTGTCAATCTTCGATCTTTGGAAATTATTTTTCACATAGAAAAAACATCGAACAATATTTGACCGATCTTTCAAAACTTTCACGTTTATCATCAATTATTTTATCATTAACATATCGAATAACTTCGATAATTAACATTCAAAGAGTATTTCCTCAACTACATCGATTAATTATAGATTCACCTAAATTTTTGAATATAAAAATGCCTGAACTACGTTATTTAAAGTTAACAAAATATGAACGAGCACCGTTTTCATATCTATCGAGTAATTTGATGCCTAATCTTCATTCATTAGATATAACACTTTCATTATCAACAATTCTTTCGACAATGAATTCATATTTGATTTGGTTTCAAATAAAACGTTTATTTCTTAAAACAACAGGTGAGTCAACGTCCATTTTCACAAATGAATTTTCTTATTATTTAATTAGATTCGGATATTTCATTTTCCATATCACAATTTTTATGTAAACTGATCAATTTAAAACATTTCGAAATTGATATTCAAAATGCAACAAATGTTCCTGATGGTCAACAATGGGAATTACTTGTTTCACATTTGATTCGATTTCATTTTTGATTTACAATTTATAATCAAAAACTAAATAATAATACTTTAGAAAAATATCTCAAATCATTTTCTTCATCATTTTGGTTGGAAGAAAAACGTTGATTTGTTGGTTATTACAAAAATCTATCATCATATTCATTTTTTACAATACCACGTTTTGTTTCAACAAGTATCGATACATCTTCTGTTTATCAATCATTGTTTACATCATCAAATTTCTNGCTTAAATACAATTTTATCATCTTCCATCGTCATTTAATGAATATAAACAAAATATTTCTTTTGAACAAATTCGTTCAATTGAATTTTCTCGAGAAATTAAATCGATTTCATTGATACAAATTTTAAATGAGATTTTTCCTCGAATTCAACGTTTAACAATGAAAATCAATTCGTTTGACGAAATAGAAAAGATTTTCCAAACGTTTTCATCATCATTATCAATTGTTTGTTTTCATTGTGATACGTCAACTATTTCAACAACAAATAAAAATTTATTTCAAAAGATTTTCAATCATTCGAATTTTACTTTTTCAATTCAATCCAATTCCATTCATTTCTGGATTGGTTCGAAACATACGACCGAAAAAGTTTGTTTTCTTTCTTTTTTGTATTTGAGAAAATTGATTTGATCAACTTTGTTTATAGATACTCAATCAACAAGTAAAAGAGAAGAGAAGAAAAAAAGTAATTCAATGCTTTTCATGGTGTTCATCAAAAAAGTATCAAATTGAGTAATAAATATCTCATTTATTGTTGAAAAGAAAGTGTTTTTTTTTATCTAAGTTAAGATTAATAAATGTGAAAAAATCTAATAAAAATTCTATTTTTATCACATTCACATGTTTATTCTCAAGACGTAGAATTTTTTATTGAATTTTATTATTTTATGTGGTCATATTAAAAGCTTTCTACTTCAAACACTCATGTAAGAACTTCGAAAATTTGTAGCTCAAGGATATCATTAACAGATATTATTCAATCGTTTTAACGTACATTGATTTCCTAAGCGTCGTCAACATAATAATTAGATTTCTAACAAAAAAGTCCTATAAGAACCATTCATACTATTGAATCTTTAACCAATAATGAATAGATTATAGTCGATATTTGAAGTAATATCTGCATAGAAAAGTTATTCGGTCATAATGATAACACTTCTGAGTGCTTGATAAGCATCATTCGTTGATATTTAACGCCTTCTCTTTTGCATCGTGTCAATTATAAAACTTAAATCTAATAATGATCAGTAATTTCCTTTCTTCAGAATCTATTACTTAACTATTTTACACACTTGCCTTGTGCATTCCGGAAAACTTACACTTACTTGATGTTGAATGAAAATATTATCCCGAAATTGATAGTATAACATCAAACGCGATCAAAATATTCTTATCATATACTTCTTTTATTTTGTTCATAGAATTACATACTAAGTACTCGAAATGATTGGGAATATCCCAGAATGGTCGTTTAGGCGACTAGATCCGTTTAAATCTGAATCGATTTCAGTAAGTTCCGATCCGATTCGCCGAACTTTTTTAACTACCAAAATACTACATGTCTTGTTTCACAATTAATCGTTCCATCTATCGCTGTGGTAACGTTCACATATACCACTCATGAATTTATAAACACTTCAAAAAGTGACTATGGTTTAGGATATGTCTTGAGAGTCTGTCGTATTTGATACCGACAAACGAAAGACATTTCGACGATGAGGATTTATATACCCATTTCAAGACCATCGTAACTTACCGAGCATTAACGCCATCTATGATTAATAACAATTACTGGTTTATGTCGTGAAATATAAAAGAAAGTCGAATAGCAAGTAAGATGTGATGTGATCGAGATAATCCTTTCAATACTAGAGATCATTATAAATAATATGAGAGTTTTGAAAAATAGCACATTCACCTTTCATACTGCTTAGATTCAACTCAAATGGCTGATCCCACAGAACGATATTCGAAACGAAAGAAGAAATACACGACTTCATTTTTAAATGTTTCTCAAGAAGAAGCGGAAGATTCACTTGGATTTCGATTCCAAAAATTCTACAAATCTCATCTCAAATACCAACCGATCAATTTATCACGAAAACAGCACCAGAAGAATTGAAGAAAAAAATATATGATCGTTTGATTGATGGAATTGCATCAGAAGGATTTCCAGAAGCAACAATTGCACCGATGAATGAAGCAGTTGTCACTGATTTTGTTGGAGATATTTTGAAAGCGATGGTTGCTCATAGTAATCGCACGATACATCATGATGAATTAATATTATCTCGAGAGAAACAAATCATCAGCAAAGACGAAGAATATGGTGGAAATATGGAATTTATAGTAACTCATAATATTGATGATGGGAAGGTTCGTCATGTCATTGTAGTTGAAGCCAAACGTGATGCACTGGGAAAAGGACTTACTCAACTGTTATTAGCATTGAAATCAATGTGGGAAACAAATAACGATCAGAAAACAGTTTATGGATTTGTAACGACAGCCACTCTATGGCAATTAGTCACATTTGATGGTCAAATATGGAAATTATCGGAATCAATGATAGTTTTATTTGGAAATATGCCTAATAAAGAAGATCGATGGTTGAAAAGCAATACACAACTATTAGACGTGATTTACACTATTTTGTCATCATTATGAGATGTTTTATGGATATTAGTTTATTGAAAAAATAGTAAAGAATATTGTCTAATTGAATGTTGTTTGATAGTTAATGTAAGAGAGAATAGATGATTCCGTCAGAGATGATGATCTAAAAATATGTTTCGTTACAAAATTATTTGTGTTCGAATGAAATATTTACAAGAGTCAACAAAATATATCAACTGCAAAAACGAAAACGAGAAAGTTTCTCTGCTGAAAACGATTTTTGCAACACAATTTCAATCGAAAAGTTCGGCGTGTATGATAATAAATCGAAAACATCTTTACAATGCGATGAAGATTGACGATTACTACAAGAAATTATCGATACTAACGTTTGTAATTATTAATTGAATGTCTTCTCTTTGTCTTCTATTTTCAAGTTCTAATGGAAAACGGTCGTAATTAATGATATTTATTGAGAAAAGGTCGAGATTTGCAGTCAATCAAAGACAAAAGTTACATCGATATAAGAGATTGATTGAATGGAAATTAGCGACGAAATTGTTTCAGAGAGAAAATGTCTTTGACTTCCGTAGTTTTTTCATTTTCCGTCATTGACGAAAGCTTCGAAGAATTCTTTACTTACCCAGGTCGAACAATCCCATATTCGGATCCGAAACATGGATTTCCTAGATTTTCTAAGGGTCATCATAGAAGATAGCTAAAAAGATCGCCCGTAAAATTTGCAACAACCGACGGGATCCTTCTAGTCGGATTCCAATGCAATTCCGTTTCCAGGAATCCGATCGGATTTTGTCAGATGGTCGGATCCAGCATCGGATTTGTTGACCGGGGTAGACGTTATTTCATTATCATACATCAGATAGATATGAGTCTTCAACGATAATTTTAATAATTTCCTAACACAAAGAAAACAATTTCGATCTGTTAAGAAAAAGAATTTGTTTGGACGCATTTTTGATTTTCAATGAAGTATAGATCATTACTGCTCCTGCTTTTCATCAAATTGATTCAAAACACAACCCACATCCAGCCATCGTCCTTCAAAAATTTCTTCGCGTTTACACTCAATTGATATCATTAGTTTCTGATGCAAATAAAGAATTCTAATCTGTATCTACGTGATCTTTTCGTGGATAAAGACTAGATCAATGAGAAGGATCATGAAGAAATACAGTCCGTTCGTAATATGGAAGTGTTGGGCTTTCCAAGGCGCCACTTGCATAGAAGTTTATCAACGAAAAATCTAAACCTGTGACGATCGTTCATATCGTTGACGGCACAACAGATAATATCGTTGTATATGGAAGTGCATGATGATAAATTGAAGATGATATTCGAATTAGTATCTCCTGGGATGAATTATTTCGTAATGATGACAATAAACTTGTATGGATAGTATGAACCATTTGTTGATATCTAACGTCCTCTTTCGCCTTGTATCAACTGAATAAAGTTCTAATCCAATGGTGAACAGTAAGTTTTTCTTTATCCATTTGGATATAATCGAAAATCAGAACTCTCATAATGATCCCCAGGTCGATCATTTCGGTGACTGGATCCGTTTAAACCTCAGTCGGTTTCGGCAAATTCCTTGTCGCCGGATTCCGGTCGGAAATTTACAGGAAATGTCCGGTCAATTCCTGACTGTTTCTAGCCCAAAGTTTGCAGGAAATGGTCAGGAAGTAACTGGAAACTTCATTTGAACTTCCGGCGGCAGGGAAGTCGTCGGAGAGCGAACTTAACCGGTCGGAACCGACCGAGCCACGATAATCTGCGATTCTTTGATTTTCATCAAAACAGTGATGGCAAACACGACAAATTCCACGGATGTTAACGATCATGGTTTTCTACTGATCAATCATCAGACACAGATAGCAAGTCAGTCAACGATGTTCTTGCGATAAAGTATTACGGTGAGCATGCATTTACATCTCAGCTATTTAATTTTTGTTATCTATTTTATCTTTACAGACGGTTTCAAAATCGGAAGAATCATTGAGATCCATGACAACTATTTCTTGGTGCAATTGTTCCACTACAAACTCGATGTCAAATGTGAGAATATAACAGAGGATGAAATCTTAGTCAACTTCGGTGGTAATGGATCGAAATCGATATTTGACTTTGATCACAATAGACAAATGATTTTGTCTCGCAAAATGAAATATATGAGTATGTTGCGGATTTCAATGTAACACTAAGAGTACATTCATTTTCTTCCAGACTCTGATACGTCGATGTCGCTGATTGCTATCATCGCTGACCTTGAAGAAAACGAAGTAAGTTCCGACTCAGAAATGGTTTTTTTTTCAACCGTAGCATAGACAAAAATAATCTTTTTCGTTAGTCAGGCCATTCTCGACATCTCTGTCTATTTGATTCTTTTCCTGTTCTCCGATGAGTATATAGACGTCTGCGATAGGTGATCCTATTCATTCATTTATTTTGCAGATTATTCTCAACATGGAATCAGCGATGAATGTTATTATTCGAAAGTTAATCGTTATGTCGAGTTCTCTGGAAATTATTAAGGTTTTACTCAATGATCAATCGTTCAAATTCGATGATATAATCGCAAAAATCTATGCTCATGTTCATGAAATCGAAAGTGAAGAAAATCTCAAAAATTTGGCACAGATCATAGCACAAATTAGTATCGATAAAGAATGTCTTTCCGCGACTGAAAAGCATTTGCAGAAAATTTCGGATCGTACAAGTAATATGGCAAAATTCACCGGAATCGTTATCAAAGAAATAGGTAAATTCCAGTTGTTGTTATCACTGTCTTGAAAGAATTTGTATTTAGGCCAGCTCATTCAACTATGCATTCATACCCAGGTTATTATGGCACGGTCGGTTCCGGCCGGTTAGGTTCGTTTTCCGACCATTTCCTTGCCGCAGGAATCGACTCAGATTTCAACGGATCCAGTCGCCGGAATGATCGACCTGGGTAGTGCAATACTTACGACTTAGCGGATCTTGGATCGAAATACTGTCACAATGATGATGATCCAATATGGAAGACAATAAAAATATTTTCATAATGTAAATTTTTGTGCATAGGAATAAAATCATAGTACTCGAATTGATCAGGACTATAGGACATTCAAGTACGTCGGATGAAATAATACGATTTGTTGCCGATTTGATAGAAAGAAAACTGAGATAGTCTCCCGAATATGTCGTTCATTCACAACAATTCGATGTATAGCGATACGTCCGCGGTAGATTATTGTGAAAAGTGTGTTTTTCAGATGAAATGAACAGATTGTTGACATAAAGATTCTAAACAATGACCTTCAAATTCAATCACAAATTCCTTTTGAACAAATTCGTTCCGTTGAGTTTTCCCGAGGAATCAAATCATTTTCATTGATGCAAATTTCATCGTATTTATCAATTGTTTCGCTTAATTTCAACGAAAAATTTATTGAAAGGAATAACTTTCTTGCAACTTTTAAAAGGAAATCTCATTCCTTGATGGATTCATTTTTAGATGGAAAATTACAGAAAAGCAATACAATACTTTCCATGGTGTTCAATACGAAAATCTCGTTTTCCACTACAAAATTCCATGGTTTTACATGAATAAATTCTACTTCGGAAATCTATTAACTTAATGTACTTAGAAAGTTATCGAGACACTATTTTGCGTTTTATATTAACAACGGAAAATTAGAAGTCATTTGAGATAATAATTAATTCTATTTATAGAAATGTGGAAAGTTTCTGATTCTCATCTAATGGAAATCAATATATTTTGCTTGGATTCAATTCCAAAGTAATTAGTCACACAATCATCATACATTGAAATTCTTTGTAAATTCTCTGTATGACGTTCTTCTATTTACAATGTCTTGGAAGACGAAAAGCTCATCGACTAATTTGATTGATTTGAATATCGAAGAAATTCTTAAGAATTTCGAATATTAATTTCTCTCGTTTTTCGTGCATATTTAATCAAAAGAAATTCTTTATAATATTGATAATTAATTATCTATTGATATAGATCAGATATAATATTAAATAAATAGATCGAAACTAATGAAAAAATCTTTTCATGGATGAAGATTAAATCATAGATTATTTTAAGGAAATTATTAAAATATTATGAAGATCTTATCAATGTATACGAAAAACATTTTTGTAGTTAATGAGAATCTTCCGTAGAGTAGATTTTCTTTGAGAAAAAGAAGAAGAAGAAGAAAAGCAAAAGTAATGTTTCTAATTCGGAAAGAATTACAAGGGGAAAGAAAAGATATTCTATAGATAGTTTTCCAATAGCAGGAAGTTCGCAGTTGTGACATATCTATCTATCTAAATATTAATTGAATGTCTTCTCTTTGTCTTCTATTTTCAAGTTCTAATGGAAAACGGTCGTAATTAATGATATTTATTGAGAAAAGGTCGAGATTTGCAGTCAATCAAAGACAAAAGTTACATCGATATAAGAGATTGATTGAATGGAAATTAGCGACGAAATTGTTTCAGAGAGAAAATGTCTTTGACTTCCGTAGTTTTTTCATTTTCCGTCATTGACGAAAGCTTCGAAGAATTCTTTTACTTAGACGTTCTTTCATTAGCATACGTCAGATACGCGATAAATCTCTATTTTTCTTCATAGAGAAAACGAGAGAAAAAGAAGAGATTTTCCTTGGAGAACATTGTTAGTCGATGTTTATTATTTTGTCCATTCATTATTGATTTCTTTTTTTCAATCAAATGATTCGTCTTGCGAATATCTTTCAAAGTAAGAATATTTGAAAATTCTCTTCCAAATTAAAATAGATTTCTTCTAATCAAATCATTAAGAGAAGAAAGAAATAATTCTATTCTATTCATTGATATATTTATTTTCAATTGAAGTTTTCTCTAACGACATCGATATGATAAACTAATCTCATCAGTTTTTATCGTGTAAGATTTTCTGAGGATAAAATATTTTCTTCAAATAAATCAATTTTCAATGAGAATTTCTTTTTAGAAATATTTTTCAAACTATGATTTTTGTTTTGTTCTTTGAACAACATGAAAGATGATTTCATCTCATAAGACTTTACTCAAATAACATTAGAATATAAAGCTCGTCTGAGTTTTGTCTTACAGACTCATTTAAAATATGAAAGAGAATCTTCTATGTTCTTCATTACTATTTTTGACTACGAAGATCTCTAAATTTAGATGCGATTGATTAAAAGATTTGTTATTCAAAGAAGGAAATTAATGTGTCATTTTGTAGAAAAATTCATTTGATGCGAGTTGAAATTCAAGTCACAATGAATCGAATGATAAAAGTAAAGAAAAAGAAGTTTTCCTTTCCTTTTCTATTTAATTTAATTAACGAGAAAATGTTTGAAAGTAAAATGAAAAGTTGATTCAAATAGAATGTGGCAAAGAATAAGCTGGAAGCAATGATTTGTCAAAAAAATCAATCTCTTTTATACTTAACAAATCAATAGAAGAAGATTCTTTCGAGAACAAAGAAAAAGAAAATGACATGTCATTCTAATTTAAAGAGAAAAATCACATTTTTATGCATTAAGTTTTTTTCTCGAATGAAAAAATAACTCTGAAGAGATTTTTATTGAATAAAAGATTTTTCTTTTCTTTTATCTAATACAATTAGTTCGTCTTTTCAAAAGAAAAAACCTTTTTTTTTTCTTTTTTTTTCAATCAAAGAATCTTTGTTATTATGCGTGAAGAACTTGTGAAGAAGAAAAAAAAGAACAGCAAAGATCTATTTTTATATGAAAAACGGTATTTTTCATTTGAAACTGATTTTTCTCTTTTCCTTTTTTTTAGTTAAACAATAAATATGTTTGATTATTTTCTTAAATAATGATATTAATTCAATGGCATTTTTGTTTGTATTTTTTTCTTATTTTTCTATGTAAGTTTCGATTTAGAGAAAGATTCTCTCATTTTTTCCTTATTTAGCATATCAAACCTCGGCTGTATATTCGATTCAATGTTGTACAGGTGATGATAATACATGTTCATCAAAACCTGTTGAATGTCCTTCAAATATTTGTTTTAAATTAGGTTAATTTTCTCGAATTTCAAATCTTCGAAAAGTTCATTGTTTTCTATTTTTAGTGATCAATAAAGTAACAGAAGAACGAGGTTGTCTGGATGATTTAATTAAATTATTGAATTTTGATGATAAAAATAATCGAAAAAGTGTACATGGAGATAGTTTAACAAGTGGATCATCGAATGATCAATGTCATAAATTAGGTACATATGGAATGTCATTATGTCGATGTACAAATCATTTATGTAATTTAACATCAAAACAAATTGATTTCAACAAAGTTTGTCTTATTTTATTTCTTCAATTTTTTTTACTTTTCTTTCTTTTATAAAAATAACAAATTCAATTCTTGATCTTTATTTAATAAAAATAGGTTATTCATTTGTAATTCTACAAAATAATATCAACCAAATACAAATCGATTTTCAACAATTCACATTGAATTCGACTTGTTACACGGAAATTTCTCTTGTCGAAAGACAAAACTGAAAAACAACGAAGAAATTTTGTTCACATTGCAATTTCTGTTAGTACGAATGCTTACGCAAGATGAATTCTCATCCTTGTTTAAATAGACAAGACATATGCATAGTTAACTTGAAATTGGTTGGAATCGAAATCTACCGAAATCATCAAATGAGAATATGAAGATGATTGGATGAGAAATAGTTAATGTTGAAGTAGAAGAATTTGTGCTCATATAGAAAATAACTGTTTGTTATGTTTATTGATGTTAACAATAAAATAGAGAAATCATCAACATGAGAAAGAAGAAAACAAATGAACGAATCGAAATATTTCTTGTGAACATTCGACTTGAAACAAAGAAATGTGTCGAGTTGTTTGAAGAAAACGTTTGATGGTTTTGCAAAGAAATGAAATGATATGTCATTGAATAGAAAAACGAAAAATAACAACTAAATAAAACAAAAGAAGAAAATTTGTAATAAAAACAAAGGAGAAAAATCTTACGAATAAGTTAAGATTGATCACCGAGCGTAATTGTATTATTTTGTATTGAACTATCTGAATCTTCATTGTTATTATCTAATGGAAGTGGAGTTCCACGTGCTTCATAAACTCCTCCAACAGACGCACGAACATCACGATCACGATCAACTAATAACATTTGAAGACATTCATCTAATTGACTTCTCCAATCATCTGATAAACCATTATAAAAATCTTCAAAGAAAAATGAAACATGACAAATCTTTTTTATCAAATTATCTTGTCAGTTCTTTTACCATTGTGAACTAGATTTTGATAAACAAATGTTCCAAGTGAAAGACGAACATTAACAACTGGATCTTCTTTTAATGATAAAAGTGTTCCGAGAAATCTCAATGAATATTGATCTGATGTATCTCCATGTAATTTATAAATCGATTCACATAGATTAATATATGATTGACGTAATTTCCAATCTTGTGACGAGCCAAATACTCGATGACAATCATCAAGAAATACTTCTAATTGATTTTCAGCATTTTCAATATTAAATTTCGCATAACAACCAGATAACTAAACAAAGTCAAACTCAATTTGCCATTTAGAAAAGACAAAATTTTCTTACTGCTTTGATTGCTGTATGTCGAACTTCTGCTACTCTATCAACAGCCATTGCAAAGACTAATGGACTTATATAATCACCAATATCAGATGAAGAAAATAACGGTGTTAATTCAAATAATTGATTTGCACTTTCTAATCGAAATCTCCAATTTCTTTGATTATCCACTGATGTTAAACAAGTTAATTTATCTAAATAAGTTTGTCGTTTTGATATTTGAAGAACTTTGAGGAATTGAGCTAAATGGGAAAGAATTCCGATTTTCACTTCATCAACATCACGAAGAAAAGATTCGAAAATTGGACATAAATCTTCTTCAACTTGTTCAACAGTTAATAATTCTGCAATTGCGTGTAACGAATACGCCAACGTTCGACGAACTTTCCACTAAAGCGAATTTCTATGAGACAAATCAAACGTTCAAATTCGATTTTACTTGTAAATCTTCGGCGAACTTCTTATGAATATCTCGAATAAGATTCCAATTTTTATTTGTGAGCGTTAAAACAACAGCAGGAAATGTATGGGCACCTTGATGAATAATATCAGTTTCCACACCGCTTGAATATGATTGTTCGACTAAATTTGTATAATAATCTAATAATTCAATTGGAAGAATACTCTACAACGAAAAAATCCAACAATTTTCCTTTTCAAATTAAAGAAATCTTTTACATTAACATCATCATGATCATAATTCTTCGATAATTCAAGTAAAGATTGTTTTCGAGTTGTTGAAGCTTCAAAAGAAAGACAATCAATTTCAAAGACACATGAAAAAACTATTTTTTTACATTGACTTAAACTCGATCGAATCACTTCATCGAAATTGATGTCAGTTAAAAGTGGTTCTCTCCAATAATTAAAATCGTTGAACTTGTCATTCGTAGTTAATTGAACGTTTTCTTGAAGATTCGAACATAAATTATCAATTTGATCATTCGATTTCGATTCATCTTTATTAATTTGTTCATCATTTTCATTTGTTCGTGCAAATGTCGAAATAAAATATCCGAGTATACGTAAAGCGGCTGTTTTCACCCAACGCGATTGATCTTGTAACAATTGGATTAAACACGGAGATAAAATATTCCAACGGGATTCTTTTGAACAGACTTGAGCTAATGGATGTATCACTTCAGCACAACTTTTCCGAACACCCCAAAATGGATCACTGCATAAATTGGATATACATGGAACCTATGACAAAAACAAAGTTCAGTTCTTTGCTCTTGATGGAAACGAAAATTGTTCTTTTTTTGTGTGGAAAAGAAAGAAAAGATTTATTAAGAAAAGCATTATTACAAGATATTGATCGACTGCTGCTGGTGGAATAACTGTTGATAAATCACCAATAGACGTTGCACACGTCTAATTTCAAAAGTAAATTCATCGTTATTACGAAAGCTTTTCTAAAACGAAATAAAAACCTTTCGTGTTTGAAATGCAATTGACGATGATTGTTGAACAATCGTCGGAACAAAATATTTTAATATTAAATCATTTGAGACATATTGAGTCAAACGGGTCATCAACTAAAACAAAATTGACATGAAAAATTCATCCCCATTGAAAGGATTTTTCATCGTTCAAATGTCAAATCTATTCCACCAAAGCTGGCTGTGATATGATTTCACAATTATTCGACATAAACACAACCATTTCGAGGAATAGATTACTTTGATAAATACATTCTAAAAGATCTTCTTTCGAATAAAAATTTTCACAAAGACATTCTTTGGAAAGACAGACTAGTAAGATGAAATTTTCAAATAGTCACATCTCACTACCCATGTCTTTCAGAGAAGATCCTTTTTCTTTTGCAAATCAATCAAGAAATATCGACTTACAAGAATCGATTCGTTTTTAAAATCATCACAAGCTTTTTCTAATTGACACAAAGCAGGAATGATGTCATTTTCAATTTCATCTGCTTTGATTTGTTCTAATTCAAACAAACGAATTAATGCTGATTGACTTGCTTTACGTATTCGATTGTTTCCATGTCCGATTGTTTGGATTATTGATTGAAATAAATATTCTTTTATTAATAAATCAGCATTTTCAACGTTAGATATTAAATATTCAATAATTAAAATAAATTTTTCTAATGTATCGATTTGAACTTGTGTTACTTGAAAAACAAGACGATTTCTTTGAGCTTTATTCAAGAAATTCTCTTCTTACCAATATCGTCCGCTAATTTTTTCGTACATGATAAGATTTGGTATAGACTTTCTACATCATTAACCAGACGAAGTGCATCTAAGATATATTTAACAGCATTTTTTCTACAAAGACAAAAGAGAAATGTAAAAGAATGGTGAAGAAAAACCATCTAACCTATCATTGTAATTTGAATTTGAAGTATGAAGGTGCAGAAGACGTTGAAATGGTGTTTCACTATTTTCATCGGAATCATCATCGACATTTAAATTAATTGGATCTAAAGAAGAGAAATTTATATTAAAAAGAAAAATGAGAATAAACAATCTATGTGATTACCATTGTTGCTGGTCGAATCAAGAATGTCGACTATGTCTGACATGCGTTTGATTTGTATAAGGACAGAGGAACAAGAAAAATTCAAGGAAATGAACAAATGAAAAAGAACGAGAAAAGAAGAAGTAATCCTCGACGGCCATTCTTTAACCTTGACCTCGTCCTCCCTGATCAATTTCCTAGCCAATAGAATCAATCAACTCTTCTTTCTTTTTTCAGACTCATTCGTCTTTCTGGCTTTATTCCAATTTCTTTTTGTAAACGAATTTTTTTAATTCAAAAGGTTCCATTTCATTTTTATTCTTTTATTTAATATCGAATAACGCTCATCGAATTAGATTTATTTTCAAACAATAACAAGAAAATTTCATAGATACTGGCGACATCATCCAACAAAATCAACCATTTAAAAAATATACATTTTGTTTCATATCGATAGACCTAAAAATGAAATGTATGTATTCAAATACTCTACGGAAATATCTGAAAACAAGTGAAAAAATTTTCTCAAAATCATCAACATTTTTTGTTCATTGCAAAGTCCTATTAGGCTAAGGAAGAAATGTTTTCAGTATTTCAAAGAGAAAATCCGAAAATACGATCTATAAAACTAGTTATTAATTTCGATTAATCTCTCGTCGACATAATTGGTTACTGAGCATGATTTGGCTAAAGCTTATATAATTTTTGGGCCTTTGAATTGGTTAGCGAGAGTAGGGATCTATCTTGTCGAGATCGAAATTCAATATTCTGATAAGATCTCGTTGAATCACGTGACGTGAGAGAAACTCAACATGATTGAACACAGCTGATGAGAAATTCTCTTCACAACGCTATAAGCATAGAAACGGCTATAATTTATTTATTCTCTTTCTCGTAGAGAAGAGTCTTTAGAAACATAAATTGTTTATATGTCCGCAGGGTCAAAAAGCATCGAAAATCGATTTTTCGGAAAGGATATTTTCAGAGGTACTTCATTGCGGAGAGTTCGAATCTGATGCTCGCTCTTCGAATTTTTTTCTAAAAATTTACCAAAGGGCTTTTTGGGTCGAGGAACTCGATTGTGATGTTAGCTTTTTGAGAATTCAAAAAAAAATTTTGAAACAAAGGGTGCCCGTTTTCGGAAAAAAACATGTATAACCATATGATATCGGATATAGTCAAGTGTATTAGTATGGTAAATGAAATATTCTCGTGAATCTCTGGTGATCTGATAGTTAATTATTGATCTTCATAAACGAACTCTGAAGTAATGTAGCTGTTGTTCATATACACAATAATGCATTAAAACTATGGCATCTGATATCAATATTTCTACGGCAAAGAGCTGAGCTAGTCTAACGACGAGCGTTACTTGTTGTCATCAGTGGAATCAAATCGTGAAAAATAATTCTAGTAAGAGAGAATATGAATTCGCATCAATTAAGCAATAAAATAGATTTTCAGGCAAATTATATGAGCGGTATATATTTCAGCAAAAGAAAACCGATATTGAAGAACTAGAACAATGTAGTTCCATTCGTTTCATAATTTATTGCAGAAAGCACAGAGTAAAATTCTATGGAACGATATAACATATACCATGCATTACATAAAATACTATCCTCCACAGCCAAATAATAAATCGGGTACTATTTTTGCTCTTCGTTGTAAATGCTCGCATATGTATGTCATGGTTATTGTATTGTAAGAAACTAATCGGCAGTTATCTGTTAACAGAACTACGGGTGTTTTAAAGTAAGATATTACAACGTTCTTGTAGATTTGATGATTGTCTTTAAAGCCATCTGTTTGGGCATATCGGAAAGCGGCTTAACTTTTCCAATAAGTTAAACGCCTTGTTTCCGAAGAGAATTGATAACGTTTGTTTTTTCGAAGATTTTCCACGTTTTCTTATTTACGAAAATGCCATTGGGTAATTATTAATTCATCAAAATGAATTCACAACAAATTGTTAGAGCACCTCAGTGAGGGAGTTGGCATTCTATTTATGTCAAAGATGCTGAGTGCTCTAACTGACTCTTGAACACAAAAAACAGATATATATTTTAGGAGTGGCAATTTAACTTAACTTTAAGTGTTCAAGTTAACGGCACGCTGCGGTAAACCGTAGTTCAATTTGATATTTTCTGGCTTCAAAAAGAAATAAAAGATCATGTGACTGGTTTTTCAGGTTGAAAAACGATCAGTTTTTCTTGTTTCTTTTATCTATCATCGAATAAGATTTGGAAAGAATGAAACAAAGATACTGAGAGATGCTGCATGAAGCTCTCAGCAAACTATATCGTGAAACTTTTTACAGTCATTTGCTTTTTTACCGAAAAACGTCAAATCGTGCAAATCAATCAGTGAAAACTGACTGGTTAGCATTTAGCGTTCTTGAAAACAAAATTTACATAGTCAAAATAAATCTCTAATGTAAACTGTAGAGTTTTTATCTTCCACTATACTTTTTAGCTAAAAAATTAATTTCAAAGTGTCAACTTCTTTTGAAGAAAATCGAATCGGCTTGCAAAGGAGTCAAAGGCCTAAAAGATTTCCTACTTTTAATTCCTAAAACTTCTATTTTAAATGTCAAAACAGAATTCAATGAGCGTGCGTATTTTAACGCCATCTTTCTGCGCACGCCAACAGTTCGTCACTGTTGAAATGATTACACGTCATTTGTTTTCGTCAAAAACATATATAACTATATTACCACCATGAGTTACTACCCATAGCGAACAAAATCGAACATTTTTCATCGCTTCCAGCCTCTACGGTACGGTCTGCTGCACGATTGAAATACAACATGCACACATTTTCCACATTACCCGTCGAACTTGTTTATCGAATTATGGATCATCAAGATGAGCTGACGCTATTTTGTTCAATGCAAAAGATTTCCCGGCGCCTCAATCAGATCCTGAGCACCTATGAGCGATATCGAGTAAGTTTACTTGGCACCCCAACACACCTGTCGGCTGTGCTACACATAAGCCTAATGATATTTGACGCCCTAAATTTCCTCATAGGAAGAGGTAAAGTAATCTCATAATCCACAAATAATTTGATCGAATAAGACAATCATAGTGCGAAGTCACATGAAATCAAGCATTCCTCCACTCTCTCGCCTTTCTGCTATCTATGTTGAACCATTAGATACAAAAGTGCAATCAATTATCACTTTTGATGAAACTTCTCAAATGAAGCAAACTGAACTCCACAATTTCTGGACCTATGCCTATATTAATTCTCATCCTCACCCACACCCTCAACTACCATGATTATACACACACAAAAATTGACAATCTAGATCCAACTGCTCCCTAAAAATCGTCCCCAGACATGACTATTTCATATCACACATATACAATCAGAAGTGTCATCAAAGGTTCTCTTTGCTACTTGTCCTTTTCATAATATATTGCTTTCATGTAGACACTCACCACACTAAACCTTTCCGCCCGCAGATTCAGTGTTGAAGGAGTACGACGCCTTGCGGATACGTTGCGAACAAACACGGTAATATTGATTTCATTTCATGAAAGGTGAAGTACTCAGTCTCTCTCACACCTACAGACACTGACCGCCCTAGATCTATACCGTAACAGATTCTTTGCTGAAGGAGCACAACACATTGCGGATGCGTTACGAACCAACATGGTAATATTGATCTCATTTCACGGAAGGTGAAGTACTCAGTCTCTCTGACACCTACAGACACTCACTACACTAAATCTCGGCAATAACAGAATCGGTGCTGAAGGAGCACAACACATTGCGGATGCGTTACGAACGAACACGGTAATATTAATCTAATCTCATGGAAGGTGAAGCACTCATTCTCTCTCACATCTACAGACACTCACCGCCCTAGAGCTCGACGGTAACATATTCCATGCTGAAGGAATACGACACATTGCGGATGCGTTACGAACCAACACGGTAATATTGGTCTCATTTCACGGAAGGTGAAGTACTCAGTCTCTTTGACTCCTACAGACACTCACTACACTAAATCTGGGCGATAACAGAATCGGTGCTGAAGGAGCACAACAAATTGCGGATGTGTTGCAAACGAACGCGGTAATATTGATCTCATTTCACGGAAGGTGAAGCACTCAGTCTCTCTCACGCCTACAGACACTCACCACACTAAACCTCGATTGGAACGGAATGGGTGATGAAGGGACACAACAAATTGCGGATGCGTTGCGAACCAACACGGTAATATTGATCTTATTTCACAGAAGGTGAAGCGCTCGTTCTCTCTCACATCCACAGACACTCGCCACTGTAGATCTCAACTATAACGAAATCGGTGCTGAAGGAGCACAACACATTGCGGATGCGTTACGAACCAACACGGTAATATTGATTTCATTTCACGGAAGGTGAAGTACTCAGGCTCTCTGACACCTACAGACACTCACTACACTAAATCTCGGCAATAACAGAATCGGTGCTGAAGGAGCACAACACATTGCGGATGCGTTACGAACCAACACGGTAATATTGGTCTCATTTTACGGAAGGTGAAGTACTCAGGCTCTCTGACACCTACAGACACTCACTACACTAAATCTCGGCAATAACAGAATCGGTGCTGAAGGAGCACAACACATTGCGGATGCGTTACGAACCGACACGGTAATATTGGTCTCATTTCACGGAAGGTGAAGTACTCAGTCTCTCTCACATCTACAGACACTCACCGCCCTAGATCTCGATGGTAACGAAATCGGTGCTGAAGGAGCAGAACAAATTGCGGATGCGTTACGAACGAACACGGTAATATTAATCTAATCTCACGGAAGGTGAAGTACTCATTCTCCCTCACATTTACAGACACTCACTACACTAAATCTGGACAATAACAGAATCGGTGCTGAAGGAGCACAACACATTGCGGATGCGTTACGAACGAACACGGTAATATTAATCTAATCTCACGGAAGGTGAAGTACTCATTCTCCCTCACATCTACAGACACTCACCACTCTAGATCTGGACCATAGCGAAATCGGTGCTGAAGGAGTACAACTCATTGCGGACGCGTTGCGTAGGAATGCAGTAAGACTGATGCTTTCTTGGAACGAAATTGGAAATATCTGATTTATCCGATTCTTAGAGCGTCAAGATGGTGTAGATCGTGCGCTGAATGAAATGGGAGAACCAGTGATAGTGCATCTGGTGACTCTTTTCGTAGAAAGAATGCTTTTCGATGGATAATTTAGTCAATATTATTTGGTGTGTGATTTTGATGAGATTAAGAAGTAGTGAATGAATAGAAAATGAATGCTGTCATGAGAAGCGGATGTGACCTGAATGTGAATGCTTTTTGTTCTGGGAAAATATATATGGAATAGTGGAAGTAATTGCTTTATTTACGGAGGTATAACAGAGCAGTGTTTGATGGAAGAGCTGTGATGGTACGAGGCGTTTATGGGAGGTTCTCTTGGTTTGGAATTTGTTTCTGAAAGTGTGTGATTGAGAAGAGAACATTACTGCAGACTGCTCGACTATATTGGAGATATGGCAAAATTGTATTGACAGGAGTGCAGCACGTATGTATTTTACATGTCAGTTCTCGTAAAGGCAAAGTGACCAGAGCAAGGTACATTGAATGGGAGCGATGTTTTATTATTATCTAGCTGTTTTATGTTTGATTCCAAAGCCTAAATGTATTGAGAGCTTGATAATGAAGTGTTATGTCTGTTTGTAATTTATTTTTGGAGAGGATAGCATGTATCCGTTATCTATGAATTCCGTGGTGCATTGGAAAGAAACAATGTATTATAAAGTGACTGAAATGGCACAGTGAAGAGAGAATGGTCAAAAAGTAGCGCACCAAATCGCGCTGTTAGACTAATCGTTTCCCACGATCAGCGTAGTCTGAGAAGAAGTTATTTTGTCGATTATGATCAGCTCGATTCACTCTCAGTGGTGATCCATAGAAAAATATCAGGGAAGTATTTGTTGCAGCATTTTATCGCGGAAAAAGCACTGGAATATACTCTCGAAGTCGTTTGTATGTTATTCTGATAACAGGGTTTTTCGTTTATGATTTGCTCACATGTCAAATCTCTATACTGCTTGAAACGGATAGCAAATTTGAGGCCGTAAGAAAAACGGAGGATAACCAGTTTGACAAATTTTCTCAGTCAGATTCGGACTGGTACATTTGATAGCTAATGATAGGCAGCTATTGTACCCTTGCTCTAAGATATCTTTCGAATGATGACAAAACTGAAACCAGTTAGTTGTGCATGATTCAACATCATAGCCTGTGCGCTGAGATATTATATATTCGTAGCGTACTTCAACATTACACTGTAAGAGAACGTACATTTCGTTTGATTTGGGCACCTGTCTTTGATATCTCGGCACGTATCGACAATTGAAACCTCCACGAAATGATGATCATTGAAGAGAAGTGGATTTTGGCTATCTGAAGTCACTCCAGACTGATTTTGTGTCTGTGGTGTTGCTAGGTTTTGAGATGCATTTGAAATGGTGTGTATATATACCGCCTTTTTGCATGGGGTTAACAGTACTTAGTCAAAGTACACTCATTATAAATCGAGTGAACTGAAAGTATGCAAAGTATCATCATCTAAGTACAAATAATTTTACTTTTAATCAAGATATTTGTGCACATTTAGCCTCCGTTTTTTTAACAATACGGCATCCTCAACGAATACAACTGTTTAGTAATGGTCTGTACGTGACGCAGATAAAAAGTAGAATTTGCAACAACCAGCACTGGTATCCACGAAATCCGATATAATGCTATCGACAGAATTTGTATATACAGATATCTAAAACAGTGAAAGATGAGCGTACCCGTAGTCAAAGAAAGAAGATATGTGCATTTTGTTTTCAGTAAATAAAATCACGCCGTGCAACATAAAAACTTTTTATTGTCATTGAAAGTAAAGAGAGCGAAAATTGTTATTGTTAAAATGAGGTAAACATGCTTACCCAGGTCGAACAATCCCATACTCGGATCCCATTGGTTGCAGCATCGGATTTGTTGACCTGGGTATCTGCTATTTGATGTTTATCTATCTACGTTGCTTATGAACCCAATGATATCAATCTCGTCGTTTAAATTTTTTAAATATGTATCTCCTGGAAGAATTGTCGTAGAATATCAAACGAAATGCTGGAAAATCAACATCAATGTGTTTGTTCGCCTATTAAATGATATTTTCGTCTGTATCACATGGAATATTGAATTTCTGCACTAAGTTAAAATATTAAAGCTGTGTTGAATATTTTATGAAATATTCGATTTTTTTTTCTGTTTGTCTGTAAGCTAAGTGAAGAAAAGGGTTATTGTGTCTAAACTATTGCCTAAAAACGGTCGTATTGCTCTGAAACAGTGTATGTTCGAAATAATATGTGAACCGAACGTAACAAATAAGTTAGCTAATATGAAATTGTTTTCTATCATTTTTTTTCGTTTTCTGTCACCACCGTGCTATGATTTGTCTTCTCATATTGTTAGTCATTTTCCGTTGTTTTGTTGCCAGATGTAAAGACGCCCAGGAGTGCGCCTGTCTGAGTGGAAGGGTGTAACAATATTGATATAATCTCTTGCTGTTCTCTATCTTCTCGCTTCGCTACACGAGCGTTACTTGCTCTTTATTCATTAAACAGGTTTGAGATAAAAATAATGGCTCATACCATTATATACCCGTATGAGCCAACTGTTCTATATTATAGCTTCATTTCCTCATCAATGAATGAATAAAAAAGTACAAATCTTTGGAAAGTAAACAGATAATCAACAAGATATACCTTTTACTGCATAATTCCGAAATTAGTAGACGATGATTTGCTTCATTTCATAAAAAGTAAATAATCTCTTTTTTTTGATTTTATTAAATACTTTACAGAGAGAAAATATTAGTAAGTACGTTTGTCTACAATCGCACATAGGTTTTNCCTTATTTAGCATTTCAAACCTCGATTGTATATTCGATTCAATGTTGTACAGGTGATGATAATACATGTTCATCAAAACCTGTTGAATGTCCTTCAAATATTTGTTTTAAATTAGGTTAATTTTTTAGAAGTTGAAATCTTGAAAAAGTTCATTGTTTTATATTTTTAGTAATCAACAAAGTAACAGAAGAACGAGGTTGTCTTGATGATTTAATTAAATTATTGAATTTTGATGATAAAAATAATCGAAAAAGTGTACATGGAGATAGTTTAACAAGTGGATCATCGAATGATCAATGTCATAAATTAGGTACATATGGAATGTCTTTATGTCGATGTACAAATCATTTATGTAATTCAACATCAAAACAAATTGATTTCAAGAAATTTTTTCTTATTTTATTTCTTCAATTTTTTTTACTTTTCTTTCTTTTATAAAAATAACAAATTCAATTCTTGATCTTTATTTAATAAAAATAGGTTATTCATTTGTATTTCTACAAAATAATATCAATTAAGTACAAATCGATTTTCAATAATTCACATTGAATTCGATTTATTACACTGAAATTTCTTTTGTCAAAAGACACAACTGAAAAATAAAGAACAAATTTTGTTCACATTGCAATTTCTGTCAGTATGAATATTTACATAAGATTAATTCTCATCATTTTTTTAAATAGACAAGACATATGCATGATGAACTTGAAATTGGTTATAATAGAAATATATCGAAATCATCAAATGAGAATGTGAGAGAAATATGAAGAATAGTATAAGAAATAGTTAAACTTCAAGTAGAAGAATTTATACTAATATAGAAAATAACTGTTTGCTATGTTTATTGATGTTAACAATAAAATAGAGAAATCATCAACATGAGAAAGAAGAAAAACAAATGAACGAATCGAAATATTTCTTTTGAATATTCGACTTGAAACAAAGAAATGTGTCGAGTTGTTTGAAGAAAACGTTTAATGGTTTGCAAAGAAATGAAATGATATGTCATTGAATAGAAAAAACGAAAAATAACAACTAAATAAAAACAAAAGAAGAAATTTGTAATAAAAAAAACAAAAGAGAAATATCTTACGAATAAGTTAAGATTGATCACCGAGCGTAATTGTATTATTTTGTATTGAACTATCTGAATCTTCATTGTTATTATCTAATGGAAGTGGAGTACCACGTGCTTCATAAACTCCTCCAACAGATGCACGAACATCACGATCACGATCAACTAATAACATTTGAAGACATTCATCTAATTGACTTCTCCAATCATCTGATAAACCATTATAAAAATCTAGAAAGAAAAAAAAAAAAGAAACATGACAAATCTTTTATTAAATTATTTGTCATTTCTTTTACCATTGTGAACTAGATTTTGATAAACAAATGTTCCAAGTGAAAGACGAACATTAACAACAGGATCTTCTTTTAATGATAAAAGTNCATGACAAAGTCTATGGAATAAATATTCTAGACTAGTAAGTGAGATTTATTTATTTGAAGTTCTATATAATATTTAAAACATAAAAAGAACAAAAATTAGCGAAAAAGCATTAAAAGAAAAAAATGAAAAAAAAGTACGGAATGAGAGTGTTTTGCGAGAATCTAAAAAAGACCCTTTTTGGTTGATTTCCTAAAAAAAAGAGAGAAGATAGGAATTGAAAGGAAAAAATGAGAACCAGCTCACGAATGAGAAGAGTTTTGCTCGTAAAATCCTGATTTATTAAAATTTTCCTCCCATTGTCGTCGATTTCGTTCGAATTCCTGACGTTTCTGTTCGATTCTTTGTTCTTCTTGTTGAATATTGACTTGAAATGTATCTTGTGTTTTTAGAAGCTAGGAAAAAGAAAATAATTTTTCATCGTATTGAAAAAGAAAATTCATTACATTTTGTTTATTTTCTTCTAGTCTTTGTAATTTCTCTTCGACTTTCGTTTGATAAACATTTTCCATATCTCTCGACATCTTATCCAATCTTGCTTCGGTTTCCATTCTTTCATCTTCGAGTTGAGATAATAAATTCCTTTTTCAAAAGAAAGAAAAAGTCATTTTTTTTCATCTAGTTTGAGAAAAACAAACAAACTTATTAATTGATGGTGCCTGTAAAAGTTTTCCATTTTTCGTTTCATTTGCATTGAATGAGCTTAACTTTTTATAACGATAATTTTCATAATGATTATTATGTGTTACATCTCGTAAATCATTCAGATTTGTTTTGATTATCATACTTCGTAAAGCAATAAAATCGCTATGAGCTTCATCTTCAACTAAACACCAAAAATGAAGACAACGGTGAGAAAAAGACGATAAATATTTACCATCAACAGTTCCCCAAGCATACTGTCGAACTCTTGAACGTTTAGTTCCACGTTCTAAAACAAAATTGCTTCCAACAACAGCAAAAGGAACTTTATCTTTATAAGTTTTATTCAGTTTATTTTCATCATTATGATCTGGAAATTCGTAAAGTTTGATTTTCTCATTTGTTATATCTTGCATAATGGACTTTTTGAATAAACGCAACTCATCGGATGTTAATGTATCAGCTTTAGCAATAACAGGAATAATATTGACACGATCATGAAGACGTTTCATAAATTCAATATCCAATGATTGAAGACTAAACAACGAACAAAAAGATCATTTGTTCATATTCACCTTTTATTTTCTTATGAATTTTTTCACCTATGACCAGATGGTGTGATAAAATAAAGGCAAGCATGAATTNGACGCGATGCCGAGTAATCTTCTCATTCACTGTTAGTCAGTATTTCTTTCGAAAGAATAAAGAAGTTTATTTGATGAGTAAGAGCACCTCAAGATAGAGAAAGAAAGTCATTCATTTGTACTAGTGAATAACGATATAGTTTATGCCTTTCTCTTCTCTTTTTTGTATATATTTGATAGACATATAAACGCTTCTGTGCAAAAGAGAAAAAGTAACAGCACAGGTCAAATAACAGCTGGATTTATAATTGATAACAAAATCTATTCAATGATAATCACTTTTTTTTCATTGAATGAAAAATGATATCAAATTATTATCGCAAAAGATAAACAAGAGAATAAAAGACATGTGAACAAAAGAAATGTATTAACAATATATTCAATATTATTCAGTTTAACAATTATAACTCAATGTGTTATCAATGATTTTATTCAATATTCAACAATCAATTGAAATTTTATCGAAGACATAAATTGAGAAAACAATAAAAACATATATAAATTGAAAATATTATATACAATCAATGTGAAACTACTTCTATATCGATTTATTCTTTTTTCGTCCAAGTATATAACATAAAAACATATTATATCGATATTTTTCGACCATTGTCCAATAATTACAATAAAGGAAAATAATTCCCATTGGAGAAGATAAGTATTCATTTGTCATTTCGAATCAATTTCTAACTGAATAATTTATTCATATAAGAATAAACAATATTTGATGAATACAAATGATTATAATGAATATATTAAATGCCTTTTCACTATTTGTTTTTTCTTCAGATTTTCATTTTTATCTTATGATGATGAAATCAACACCACTACCAACAATATAGACAAATATTGAAAGAAAGAAACAGATATTGTAAAAGTTCTCCACAAACAAAACTCATTGAGAAATGAATCAATCGATCAGAAACATTATAATTCACTTTCTAATGATAGTTATTGATTAGTTGACTTTGATTCTAACAAAAAACTATACAGAAGTATTTTGTAATGCAATTGACAGTTCTAAATATGAGAGTATTGTGAATAAATATTCTCATATCTTGATAAGAAAAACAACGACAAGGAGAAATCCGTTTTTAAAATTCAATTTTATATGAAAAGTGGAGAAAAAAAAAGTTTTTTTTTTGGAAAAGGAAATCTTGAATGAGAATAAAAAAAGATGAAGAAAACGTACACAGTTCTTGAATGATAAACTGGTAATAAGTAGAAGTTTAGAACATAATTTGTCTGAAGAACAAACGAAAAGAACATGAAAAATGGTTATTTATGCTTGAATACAATATTATTAAAGTTCTTTCTTCTTTTCATTATCATTTGAAATGACATCTTTTGCCACATCGGTTGGATTTTCATTTGAAGTTATTTTTTTCTCTTCTGTCTTTCGGATTTTCTTTGTTTCTGATTTAGGTTTTGCTTTTCTTTCTTCATAAAGATCTTCAATATCATCTTTATATTTTTGTTCAATGGCTTTTCTTTTCAATTTTAATGCATCAGTAACGAGACCTGTTTCTGGTGTCCAAGGTTCAGTAACAATTTTTATCTTTTGTGGAGTTTCAAATCTTTCAATGCCACCTTTGTTACAAGCTTGTTGAACTTCTTTTAAAACTAATTCAATAAATTCATCATCATTAACTAATTTATGCCAATCTTTTTCTCCAAAATTTTTTTCAGTAAAATTCTGAAATGAAATCAAATAAGTAGAAAAGAAGATTTAATTTTGTAAAACTGACCGACATAGTTTTGGTATTTGGACAAATCAAAGCCACTGTATATTCAGATGAGGCAGATGCACATAAACAACAATTTTCAATGATTGGAATTTTACTCATTGCCATTTCAACTTTAGTTAATGAAACATATTCTCCACCACGTAATTTAACCAGATCTTTCTTTCGATCTAAATAAATGGAAAATAAATATCACAAACAAAAAGAAAAAATTCGTTTTCTTACCAATAATCTTTAAAGTTCCATCAGGAAAACATTCTCCAATATCACCAGTACAAAAATATCTTGTTCCTTCGATTTCTTTGAAATTTTCATTTTCTTTTCTTCCAGCTTCACCAAAATATCCATCAGCAACAACTTTTCCTCCAATAAGAATTTCTCCACGTGGATTTGGTTTGTCTGTATTCTTGTATTGACCTTCAATCCAATCGACTAAACGAATTTCACACGAAACAAGTGGATATCCTGCACGACCAACTGTAACATCATATTCTACAAAACAAACAAAACTAATCAAAATCGTTTCTCAACTATTGAAAACCTACNTAACCATTCAGGACGTGTCTCAGAATAAATTAAAATTCGATCACCTTGTTTAGCACCCAGAGATAATAAACCACGACCGATCGCATCAATATGTTTACACGCTTCACGATATGTTGTAAATTTATATTCACCCAAAACATACTTTAAAAAAGAAAAACAAAAGATTTTTTTTGAAAAATTATAAATGAAAAGACAAAACCTTTTTGAAAACTTTTCCAGTTGGTTGTTTCTCATCTTCAACATCAAGAATTTCTCTCACATCCATTGTTTCTTTATCCGCATGACGTTCAAGACAAAGATCAGGTATTACCGCTAAAGTTTCCACATCTTCTTCAGGTTGTGATCGCAGTTCATCAAGAACTTCAACTGCTCGATAAGGTGATGATGGATTCGAGTCATCAGACAATTTCGCTCGTACTCTTCGCTGTCTATTTCGTTTTCGATCATCTTTTCCCAATGTTGTTATATAATTCCAAAATGTTGGTAAATGAACAAACAAAAATGCTATTATATAGATTAATGTCGCTCGAATTAATGCCAAAAGAAATCGACGAAAAACAGTATTCACTGTCGTACTGAATAAACGAGTAAATGCACCTGGAGACATTCTAAAAACAAATCTCATTCGATCAAAAATAGATGAACACGAAAATAATTCGGTTGAACACGAAATCTCTTCGAAACAAACCAAAACTTTGTATTGATTAGAAGTACCTTTTCTACTTCTGTCCGGTCGAATGTTTTTGGTGTTCATCTCTAGTGAAAAATGCTTATTTGTTCAACGTACCTATTTATCGAAATAGAATCATTGAAAATAAAATCTTAAACAAAGAAAAAAAAACAACTTTCAAATTTCTTTTGAAGAACAAGAAAATATTCAAAAGAATAATACGTATGGGTTTTTTTATTTTTTGTAATAAACAAAAACAATCTTATGAAGAATGTTCTTCCTCCGAATCAACAGGCATTGTTGATAAACGATCAAGTGATATTTGACCATTACCTATAGAAGAAACAAAGATACAACAAAATTTTCTTTACGAAACAAACTTGATTGTAATTTCATTCGAAATTGGTAATCACATTTGTTCTAATGAATCGATACAATAATGATCAATCGATAAGAATAAACAAGCAGAAGCTGATGAAAACTATTTCAATAAAAAACAAATTGCTGATTGAGATGATTTTGATTTATTGCTTAAATTCATATCCAAATTATTTCGGGTTTGACGAATTAAATTTGCTGAAAGATTTTTTTCGATTGATTGGAGTCAAACGGTTTTTCTCTTTATCATCAACACATGCCTTTGAAGTGAATTTGAATTGATAAATGGATACATGATTACAAAATATCATCAACAAGACTACGATAAAAGAATTTGATCCATATCCATACTATTAATCATTTTGGTATGTTACTTCTAATCGTTTCTGTACATGTACAATATTTTTGCTAGCCACTGATCAAATATGGAACTCGACATTTTTTTGAGCATGATGAAAGTCAAAATGATTGGATGAAAGCTTTACAGAAAATCAAGCGAAATTTTCTAATGACGGATAAATTTGTATTAAATCGTGCTGATGAATTGTTTTAAAGATATTTACAAAATTAGCGCCCTCTATAACATACTTTAGTTCACCAGGTGACCTATGCCAAAAGCACACTATAAATAAACTATCGATATTTTAGCGACTCCTTTTGTTTCTTTATCATTTTGTTATCAGATAAAATTATTGAATAAAAATTATTTATCTGTAATATTTAATTTATGGTGAACAAGACATCTATATCATTGTGTTGTATCATTTGAGACATAGGTCAACCAATGGTTCTTATATTTTCTTTTTCTCTGTCTTAACTTAAAATGAATAAACTGAATGTAGATGGTTCAAGCTAAATCAAAAATTTCCAATAGTAAATCTTTTCTTTGTTACATATTTTAAATCCTATATGTTAAAAAGTTCGATTAACATCAAATATCCATTTTTGATAAATATCCTCATTGATCTATGATCATTTTTCCTTTGGTCTTCAACAAAACATGTCAACTATCGAAGTTTATCCGCGGGGTATTGATGATAAGTCCTTCAAAGTTCCCATACGTTATCAGTTTTATTTGTATTACTTTATGCCATATGTTCTAATGTCTGATTTGAAAGATATCGACGCAGGTGCTCAAGGATTGTTCATACAGGACGGAAACTTTGATCTACATACGTAAGAATTTGGTATTGATTAATTCTTTCTAAGCTTATTTATTTATATACGATCTAGATTATCACGATATCCTGATCGAATATATCTACGTTCAATTGATAACATACCAATTGAAAATGCTACTTACATTTTGAATATTTCGGATCGTAAGTCTTGTAATGCACTAAAACAAACGCTATATATATAATCATTTTCACATTACTACTAGATAGATCTCGTCGAAGAAGCTTGTCGGACAAAAACGGACAAAATGAGTCTCATAGCTCTGATCGTAGCCATATTGACACTCATATGGACAATCTTTCAGCCAATTTACTCACAATAGATCAAGAAACAGATTCAAATAAAATAAGAAAAAGAAAAACATTAAAAGATTAGTTTTTTATGTTAATCCATAAATGTTTAAAAAAGATCTACACGTATTGCATACTATTCATTAAAAAGATTTAAATTAAAGTTGTCTCTCTTTCTTTGACATTCTCTGCATTTGTTTAATCGAAAATCTGTTCAATGATTCCTTTTTTTTTCTTGAGACTTGAGTTTGATAATGTATCAGATTGATTAGTTACAACATATCATCGAATTAAAAGACGCTTTTTTTATTATATATTCGATTTATCGTTGAATTGATAAATAAAGATTTTCATCTGAAAATATATTTCAAAAATTGAAATCTCATATGCTGTTGATGTTGTACCTTGGATGCTTCTACTTGATATGCACAACAATCGATTAATAATGCCATACAAATTATCAGATAAAATAAGGAGAATAAATGCAGTTGAAATCGGTAAGAAATATACAATTGTATTTTGTCGATCACAGTTACTCTTCACATTTCAATCTTCCTTCAAATGGAACAAATGTTCTCTTCTCTTGAGAACATTCGTTAATTTCAGCCATTGATTGAGCAATGTAACTAGTTCTATGTAAATAGGAAAGTAACAAAATGAATGTGACTGATGACGAAGATGACAGTTTGGGTGTGAATGAATGAGTGACGATTTCGATATGTACAGATCGTAGATTCTTATCCTCACCTATCTACACTTGACGTTCAAATTGTTTCATTTCAAAATCGAGGAGAGAACTGTACTAGTCGCATCAGATGATTAAATAAGTCTCTGTGATTCCATTGATTAATCATTTTTTAACATACATAAGACGAGATTTCGCCCCGAAACAAAACAAATAAATTGTAAGGCCTATCTCTTTTGTTTAACGAATTTTCAATATTCAAATCTAGTCAGTTATAGAAAACATCTTTGACCTCGAAAGAAAAAGATTTAATTCAACTGTAGATGCTTCGATCGATTGGTAATATGTCAATCAATCTAAAAATGATTCTATTATTTCTTTTAATAAATTTCTTTTATTGGGATGCAGAATTTCAAGATCAAACTCTCATCGTTTTATTTTTATATGATAAACGAAATGATGATCTTTTTCTCATTCGAGTCGCTTGATGAATATAATCAAGAATTGTCTTTCACACAAGTCATTAGATCTTTAGACAACAAGTGATATAGATCTCAATCGTTAAACTATTGAATGAAGTTTATCTAATTGATATTCGTCAACTGGATACACGAATTCTCGCATCATCTGAATCGAAAGAAATGTATTAATTTTTCATGATGTTGCGAATTTGATGATAAATGATTACTCGTTTCGATGGAAAGAAATTGAGCATTGGTTATGTCTTTCTACACAACATCGATCAATTGAATTCAATCTTTTGGGTTTCGAAAAGTTAAACAAAAAAAGTAGACAAAATCAACCCAGATTATTATGGCACGGTCGGGAAGTGATCGGATATTTCCTGTGCAATTCCGGCCGGAATCCGGTGGCAAGGAACCTGCTAGAATCGGCGAAAACTGTGCGGGAATCGACTCAGATTTCAATGGATTCAGTCGCCGGAATGATCGACATGGGAAATCAAGATTATTCAACCACCAATTAAATCAACAAATATCATTCTATTATTCAATCGGTCTTCATCGATTCTTCGCTGACCTAGTTTTATTTGGACTATATAGAAATCCATAAGTTAATCCAGATGAATTAACAAACAAAATTATGGGATTAGAAATGATTCAACAGTATGCTCCTTTATTGTTTCGGTTATACAAATTTGACCAATTCATTCTCACATATTAAACATTTATTTTTTTCGCAGTAATGATTTTTGATTTGTCAGATTTCTTTCATTTGTTTTATGAAACATAAATAAAACTCTTGAAGTAGGATATTTCTTTGTTTCTTCAAAGAATTTACTCATTTTTGTCAGAAAAAGGTGAGGTACTCTAAGTGATTTGATCAAATATGATAACTAATGTTTCAACATCCTCGTCGGATTGGATTTGATGCTCGTCGTGAACTTCCACAACTCGATATGATGATGATGGATCAAAATCATCGGTTAGTTTCGATTGAATTCTCTGTTGTTCATTTCAACAAACAAAAAAGCTATTGTGTAGATCGATGTAGCTCGAATCAATCTTCTTCGATTTCCGTAGACTTACTTCTATTCTACGAAGCAATTCAAATCTTGAAAAAGAAGAAAAGGTTTTGTTTGGATTTCTTTTGGAAAACACTTCATCCAAAAGAATAACACATTTTCTTTTCTATATTCAATAACAAAAAACAACATCTTATCAAACATGTTCTTCATCCGAATCAACAGACATCGTCGATAAACGCTCAAGTGACATCTGATCAGTTGATTCATTTTCTCTACAAAGGAAAAAAANTCAATTCGATTGAGAGAATATACTAAAACAACGGGGATTTCAAAGACGAAAACGAAATCTTCCTTTTACCATTTTTGGTGTTTTTCCCGAAAACGTATAAACCATGATTGGATATCGAACTTAAATGAATCAATTCTATTTCAAGTTTGATTGTCTAAATAAAGAAATGTTTGATTTGATATGAAAAAAGAACAAAAATTCATTTTACATGAATCAAAATTCCATCTTCATAATCCCAAATATTGATAAGACCATTTTGTTCTCCAATACATAACTAAAAGGAAAAATTTTAGAAATTTCAAAAATAAATATTTTTCCTTGAATCAAATAACTTGTAAACGATTGTTTGGATTAATAGCCATACCAATAATTGCTTGTTGATCAATTGAATTTTGGTTAATTAGTCTTAAACATTCGCCTGTTTTCACAATCCATACATAAACACAACCATCACCAATTGTAAACACATATCTAAAGATTTCAAATCATTTTCTTTCTTTTAAATTTATTCGAATTACTTGGAATCTGATGAGATCAATGGAGGATATTTCAATAAAGTTCCTATACCAAATGAACGAATGTTTAATTTCTTCATTTTCCAATTAATCTGAAATAATCATCAGTTTATATTACTTTTTGAAAATATTTTTTTCTTCATTATCATGTCGAAATGAAAATAAGAAACTTCAATTTAAAAAAAGCATCCTTTTCTCTTTTCAAACAATAAGAATTGAAATTTACTTGTAACTGCAAGTCCAATAATCTTTCTTCAACGAAATAGTTACAAATAAGAAGTCGAGTCTAGCGACATCTATATTTTTATTTTTTAATAAAAATAAAGAATATATTTTGAAAAAAATATTTTCCACTAAAAATTCACATTAAATTATTGAATAATATTAAATCTTAATGAATCATAATCGACCAATTAAAGAAAGATCATGAATTCGTGTTATATCCCAGATATTGCTTCGTGCAATCAATATCAAACGTTCTTCTCATCAAATAGTTTCACTTACTTTGTTTTAAATTTCTATGACAAAGTCAAACTGAACAAATAGTTACTTAATTGAATGAATGAGATTATCATTGTTGGAGAAATAGATAAAACTTTCATAGAATATATTTCATCAAAACTTGATTCAGATTCAGATTCAGAGTATGAAACTTTTCGTGTTCAAGTGTTTGTTCAGGAAATGGTTTTAACAGAATTCTATGAGTGATGAACAATTTCTTGAAAACTATTAACAAAATCGATGATAATGAGAAGGAAATGTTTGTAAATTAGAATTTCATGTGAAACATTTTTCTCATTTTGTGTCATGTGATTCTTCAAATATAGAAATGAAGAATTTGATCAATAAAATATGAATGATATTAAAGTATGTTTTGATAATCTTCTATGTATTAGATATATTTGATATGAATTAGTAAATACGATAAACAAATTTTCATTATAANGGTCTTTTCATTGATATTATGAATAATCTCTATTGTTCTATGAATAATGATGATCAAGTCATTATGAAATCATTAAATAGCAATTCAAGTATGTGGATAGTCATTGCAGGAACAGATTGTACTACAACATCTTCATCGAATACTCTTAAAAATCCTCGTGGAATATTTGTTGATACGAATCTTAATTTATATGTAGCAGATTGTGGAAATGATCGAATACAACAATTTTTATCTCAACAATTGAATGGAATAACAATAGCAGGAAGTCCAACAACAATAACACTTGATTGTCCTAGTGGAATTGTTCTTGATGGTGATGGATATGTTTTCATCGTAGATACTAATAATCATCGAATTGTGGCATCTAGACCTGGAAATATCTTTCAATGTATAGTTGGATGTTCGAGTATTGCTGGTTCAACTTCCAGTCAATTATATTATCCATCAACAATGAGTTTTGATAGCTATGGAAATATTTATGTTGTCGATAGTAGTAATAATCGTATACAAAAGTTTACTTTAATTTCAAATACTACCTATCGTAAGTAATTATATGAAAAAATTTAGTTGCATCTTTTTATATTTAATAATAAATTTTCATATGTTTTAGCTTATTCGTTCAATCAACCGACTTTGTGTCCAACTGTAACATGGTCTACAAATGGAACGACTTTTGCCAATCAATCAATAATTGGAACAAGTCCTTTTGGTATATTTATTAGCATAAATAATACGGTATACGCTGGTGATCGAACAAATGCTCGTATTCAAATTTGGTATGAAGGAAGTCTTCTACCAAATAGAAATATTTCTTTTGATATGAGTAATACTATGTTTGCTGTTGCAACAGCTTCTGGTGATGTGTATGTTGACAATGGTTATGTTAATTTTCGAGTAGATTATTGGCCAGTGGGTAAAACAACAAGTACACCAATTCTAACAACAAATGGTCGTTGTTTTACGATGTTTATTGATACTTCCAATGCACTTTATTGTTCAATATGGTTATTTCATCGTGTAACAAAGAAATGGTTAAATGATAACGGAACAACACCAATTCTTATCGCTGGAACAGGTGCTGCAGGATCAACTGCATATCAACTTTATTATCCTTTGGGTATTTTTGTTGATCTTAATTTTAATTTATACGTTTGTGATTGTAACAATGATCGAATTCAACAATTTCAATTAGGTCAAACAAATGCTGTTACAGTAGTTGGTAATGGAGCACCGGGTACAATAACATTAAATTGTCCACAGGGAGTTGCTCTTGATACAAATGGATATATTATACTTACTGATCAAAGCAATCGTCTTATAATATCAGGACCATATGGTTTTCGATGTTTATTGGGATGTTCAAAAGTTGCTGGAAATTCACCTAGTCAATTTAATTTTCCAGGTACATTTAGTTTCGATAGTTATGGAAATTTATATGTTGTTGATCAAAATAATAATCGAATACAAAAGTTTTTGTTAACATCGAATACATGCAGTGAGTAATGAAATTGTTTCTTTTTCTTTTGTCATATAGTTTCGAAATTGTATTGATGATTTTGTTTTTAGATGCAACAATGAAACAGAAAAGTTTTTTATCTGATCAAATATGTTATTCAAATGGTTCGACTTTACTTACACGTGATACCATTGGTTCAACACCTTATGCCATTTTTATCGATAGTTTTAACACTCTCTATGTGGCTAGTCTAATCAATAACAGTGTTTTGATTTTGACTGAGGAAAGTACAACACCTATTATCAGTTTATCAGGTACTTTTAGTCGACCATATAGTATTTTTGTTTCAATAACTGGTGATATTTATGTTGATAATGGTTATGCAAATAGTCGAGTGGATAAAATTATCAATAGTAGTCTATCAAATGTGGTTTCAGTTATGAATGTTCCTGGCAGTTGTTATGGTTTGTTTCTCGATATTAACAATTACCTTTACTGTTCTCTACGAGATTTTCATCGTGTTATTAAAATATTGGCTGATGGTACTATGAATACGACAATTGTTGTAGCAGGAAATGGTTCAGCTGGTGCATCAGCATATATGTTAAATTCACCACAAGGAATTTATGTTGATAATAGTTTGAACTTGTATGTTGCAGATTGTAAAAATAATCGAATTCAGAAATTCTTACCTGGAATACTCAATGGAACAACTCTGGCTGACAATTCAACAACACCAATAGTAACACTTAATTGTCCAACAGGAATTGTTATAGATACGAATGGTTATGTATTTATTGTTGATAGTAATAATCATCGAATTCTTGGATTATACATTTATGAAGTTCGATGTTTAATTGGATGTTCTGGTTCGAGTGGCTCTTCATCAAATACATTATCATTTCCACAAAGTATAGCATTTGACAGTTACGGAAATATTTATGTTGCCGATCGAAATAATAGTCGAATTCAAAAATTTAACTACGTCTTAAGCGATTGTCGTAAGTAACTCTTTCTTATGACCACGCTTTGTAAAGAACTTCTATTTTCAACAATCCTTAACATCTAATATTTGGATCAATCACAGTCAAATTCTATCTTTCAAATGAAAGAAATATTTTAAGAAGTCCAAGATATTTGTCCTATGAAGTTGCATAGTTCTCTTTTGTGGAACTCACATATTTTTTTTGAAGAAAAATAAGTGAGTGTAAGTTTTATACCCAGGGATC